AGAACCGTTACAGCTCCACCAAATATATATATATATATAAAATCAAAATTCCATGTTTAAATCAGTCTTTGTTGATTATCATTATTAGAGTCAAAAAAGGCCAAGAAAGACTAAAAAGCAACATAAAAATCATCTTCCTCATCATCAAGTACTTTGCCGACTAGTGTGGGTGATAGTGCCTCTCCACAAATTGTGAACTTCCACAGTGTGTATTAGTTCCCTCCATGCCATGACAAAATGCTGTCAAGAATCTTCGTGTGTAGTTGTCCTCTATATTTCGTTTCCCAGTTGTCACAATATGTTCCAGTTTTCCTCTTTTCATAACATAGCCAAAAAGCAATGTCTCCTTCTGATGTTTATGATAATTTGTCTTGGGACCCTCATCTATTTTAAATATCTGGTTACTCATATCAAACAGATACTTGTAACTTTACTTGTAAGACAATTTTTAGTTGATCACCTCAGTTTAAACCAACATCATTCAGATTTCTATAATGGCAGAAAAACAGACATTCTTCTTCTTCTTCTTCTTTACATCTTCTTTTACCACTCTGGGTGTTGAGAGAGATATAAGGTCCTACTTCATGCTCTTCTGGCTGCTTCAACCATAGGCACATCATGGTGCTGTAGAGTTTCTCTGATGTTATCTTCCTATCTTGTTCTTGGTCTATCTTTTGCTCTACGTCCCTCTCCTTTTTCTAATCAGAAGCAAAATGAAACAGAATTTAAACACTGATTATGTGCTATTTGAGCTTTTTAAGCACTACCAACACCAAGATAATTCTATGGCCAGTATTAATACAGGAGCAGGAACTGATACTCCTTATGTTTACTAAGCTACACTGCTTTTGAAGACTTCTGATAAATTAACTTCTGTTTTGTCTTTTCTTTACAGAAAATTTCTAGTTTATTCTTTTATGTGGTTGGATCAGCTTTACAGGCCTATGTGTCTAGTTGTCAACTTGGAAAATTAATCATAGCTTAAGAAAAATTTTTGTTGTTTTTTTTAAATTATTATTATTATGATGCAGCAGGAGCAGACGTAGCAGGAGCAGCAGCAGCAGGAGCAGCAGCAGTAGTAGTAGTAGTAGTACAAGTAGTGGCAGCACCAGCAGCAGTTTCCTCATGATATCCTATTAAATCCTTTCGATTTATAATTGAGATATATAGAGTTGACTGACTGATGTTCAACCCCCACCAGGACCACACGATGAGTGATAAACACCCGGTGTGACACAAACTGCCACTATTCAGATGGGAATCACCTGGACGTGAGTCCCAGAAACCCCATTCAACCTTCAGGTTATATAAGGGCCCCGACAAACAATTGTGTTCCATAATAGGACAGTGTATATATGTCTGACAATTTTATGTTTGCCTAATACTTTTGGGTATTTAATAATGCATAGATTATGCGTTAACTATCTTACAGATTATAGGCAGCTGCTGCAGCATAGTGGCTAGATGCTTGCTTCCCTGCCCAATGGTCTTAGGTTTGCATCTGTATTCAGGTAGATTTCATTTATAAAACCGACCACAGTTCCCAGGTCGAGTCAGTCTAAAATGGGTTTCAGACAGGGCTTCAGTGCCCCCCCCCCCCCCCCCCCCCCCCCCCCCCCCCCCCCACCTTTTTGTGTGTCTCGGCTGTCCTGTTGGTACATTTAGGAAACAAATATCAATTATCCTGTTTTGGAATAAGCTTGAGAAAAGAACACACACATATAAAATTATATCTGTAGATCTTATTAGATTTCAGAGTTTTAGATACTTTTCACGTCTGAAATATGTTGATAATTTTCACAGTAGCATATATTTTCAGTGCAGTTAAAGAGCATATTGTTTAATTTATTTCTTGGTGACAACAGTTTGAGTTTTAATACCAACGTTTGCCGGGAGGGCTAACCCAGTCAACAAATGCCTGCAGAAGTCAGATGTTTTGGCAGAAAAGCACAAATATCATAGCAATGCTGTAAGTGGGCACAACGCAATTACATCATCTGATGAACACAGAGGAAGAAAAAGATGAAGATACCAATGTTGAGTTTTAACTGGAAGGGGTGGGGGTGGTAGGAAATTAACTTGCTTAGGATGTCCCGTTTTCATCTAAAACAGGTTAATGACCTATTTTCAGCTCAAGATATTATGGTCACCCTAGTTTTATGTAATGTGCCTGCTGGTCTATAAAAGAAAATAGCCCAGCATCAAATGTCCAATGCGCCCTGGCATAAAAATAGGGTCCTTTATATAATTTGTTATAAAAGATTATCAGACTATCTTATAAGTGTTCAATTCTGACTACAATTGTTTATATAATAATTATTTGTTATAAAGTAATTTGGATTGGGCAGGTAAAAATAATAGAAAGGGAAAACTGGAACATTTCATAATGGGAAACAGAATAGAAGAAAGGCTAACCGAGACCAAGAAAGAAAATGCTGGACAGTCTGGCATCATGCCAAGGAAGAAGACATGTTTCAGAAATGACCCAAAGTTCACCAGACAGAAGGTTTTCACATGATGCCACATGATATGGACTATAAAAAGAATATATTTATAATTTTAAAAAAATTTAAAAAAAGAAAGCTGGAATTAACAATTAAGATCAAACTGAATAAGGTTATAGCTGGGTGGTGCTGTAAAAAAAAGTTTCTTTATGATGTACAATTTAAAACAAGAAACAGAAACAAGATGCCAACGAGCCAGTGCACTTATATTTACCAACTGCCACAGTTATTAAGATATCCAAACATAAGTATGAGCACCAAGAAACAGATTATAAACAGCATATTCATACCAACACTGTGTTACCAGTGCCAGACTTGAACATTATCAAAGGTTAACCTCCGTAACATTTAACACCTGTGAAATGAGATACCTGAGAAAAGCCGCCAATTTAACTACCCAAGAAGAAGTTAGAAATGATATTATCAGACAGACTGTGGGAACAACTCCATCCAGCAAATTCATTGAGAAAACGAAGATCAAATGGTTTGGTCATCTAGTAAGAATGCAGCCAGAACAGATACCAATGCAGGTGCTACACATGAAAAGATCTGAAGTGAAAGCAAGAGGCTACCCTAGGAGAAGATAGATTGATGACATTAAAGAGCTTCTGCATCAACATGAAATGACAACAGCCATTGCTGCCCATCAAGCAATGGGTTGCAAACTGTTCCTCCCCACAATCAGAAAGAACTGCACAATAAACACATTCTAGAATTACATATACAATTTTTTTAATTGCTACCATGCTCAATGAAAAGTCAAACATAGACTGTGTGTGTGCATGTGTACATGAACATATTTATGCATATGTGTGTGTGTGCTTATACGTGTATGGGCTCATATACTATGTACTCACTCATGTATGTTTGCATGTGTCAAAGAGAGATAATTCACAATATGAAGAAGTTTTACAAATATTTATTCAAAAATATGAGTATGCCACCGAAACTGGCACAAGATGATTACCATATTATGGACAGACCAGAGCAAGTTATTATCCTTCGCCTTAGAACAGGGCACAATAGACTTCGCTCCCACATGTACAACAAATTTAAGATTGGCCAATCGGCCATGTGTACTTGTGGACTGGCACCTGAAACAACAGATCACATCCTTCAAGACTGTCCCATATTCAACGCTTTCAGGCAAAACATTTGGCCAAAAGAGACCCTTGTGGAAGTCAAACTTTACGGGCCGCTTAGTGAATTACAAAAGACAGTGAAATTCATACAAGAGACGGCTTTGCAGATATAGACAATTTATTTCATGCGAACGAAAGAAGAAGAAGAATGAGTAAACACTACAACTTGGTCATTCTTGCAGAGATCAAGTTAATATAGGTTAGCAGGTATAACAACTGACCACAGGCAAATGAAAACCTACTAATTACCACATAAAGATGTTTTAAAAATAACAAAACATGGATTAGATCAATAAAAAGTTTACAGTGTGGAGATTTGTTTTTTCAAAAAGCTTTTATAAAATACCACAAATAAATTTGGAAGACTGCATTTAAATGAAATAAAATGATAATGCTGATTTTAGTGTTCAAAAAACAATCCTTAGGTCATTACCCTGAAAGTTTAAAATGTTGTTTAAGATAATAGAATCAACAATTGTTATCCTATACAGCCAGGTCTGACTCCATATAGTTGCTGGTCACCAGTCAGAGTGCTGCACAAAGTACGAACTCCCTAGCTTCAGCAACAACTGCCAGGCATCTCAGAAACACCAATACTTGTTAACCAAAATGAAACAGATAAACTTTATAGCATGAGGCAAATGGCTTAATTACTTCACAACAGAGACTTTGAAGGTATCTATCAAACTAACTAGCTCTAACAATATGTTGTTAGTTATTTCTGTAGTTATGTATACAAAATTCTGCTTGCCACGTCTACCGACGTGGCAACAATTTTTTTGGGTGGCTTCTGCCAGACGGTGGCTAGTGCATTTTTGCTCCATTTGTAGACTGAAAGGATAGTTTTGTCGCCCAGCTTCTGAGTTGAGAGCATGACGTGACACTGTGAGCTGCTGATTTAATTTGGAATGCTTTTCTAATGTGACCAACTTGGTGGTGTGAATTGTAGATTCAGAAAATGGTGCGATGCCTATTGTCGCAATATTGGTGGTGCCATTTTGTGATTAAAATTGATCGTGTGTGCAACTGCTGATCTTTTGTTGTCTTTGCTACCATCAATGATGAACTGCATTTCTAATGTCGGACAGTTTGTGTTAGCACTTCGGATGGCTACCGTATGCTTTTAATGTGTGTGTAGGTTAGTGCATATGCTGAGACAGCAGTCTGTCAATCTTTCCACAAAGAACTGTGATAAACATTCTGTGTGTTTTTATTTGGCACAGGAGCGGAGCAACTATGGGGTTACCCATTTGCTAAGAAGCTGAAACTAAGATTACCAGATTACCAGATGCTCAAAGTCAGAAAACCTTTGTCATGATTTGAATATTTAAAATGTTATCCACAGAATTATAAATTACATAATAATTGTCTTTTCTCGTATGTTAATCTCTCCATTCTTGAAGGTCACCATATATCTAGCCAAATCCTTGCGAGTAACAATACCGATGACTTGATTTTTGAAATTTATGACCACCATGTGGCGAAGGCCGAGGGACCGGAATTTTCTGAAAATGCTGGCATATGAAGCACTCTGAAAAAATAATTTCAAAACATTTTTAGAGAATAAGTTTACACTAATAAATATGAAATATATACAAACACTACGTCAAGCCAATACTTTACTGCTTCCTTGTGTGGGTATACATGCATTTTTTCTTTAAACGTTGAATAATATCCTGTTTTCTTCTATCAGAAGCTCATAATACTATTCTTGTTCTTTCTTCTGTAGTCTTTCATCTACTAAATGAAGCCCTTAAACAGCTTATACCCAGTCATCTTCCCTTTTGCCATCTCATAAAGCTCACTCCATATTCTTAATTTCAATTCCATAATTAATATCCAAATCTTAACGCTTTAAAAATAAAGTCTGTTCGTTGGTTCCTCCTTCTGTATCTCCATTTCTAATATTTATCCCCATGTTTATGTCTCTCTAAACCTCTTTTACCTTAGAGTTTCAGTTCAAGAAAATTCTAGTTACACTAGTTTAGTAGTCACTGTGCACTAATGGGTTTATGTTGGAGCGGTCCTGTATAGTTATGGATATGAAATATTGATAATATGCCTTTTATGGATATTAAATGAAAATCTACCCCTTATGGATATGGAATATTGATAATATACCTCTTATGGATATTAAATAATGATTATCTTCCCCTTATGGATATGAAATATTGATAATATGCCTCTTATGGTTATGAAATAATGATAATCTTCCCCTTATGGATAAAATAGATTGATAATATGTCCTTTATGGATATGAAATAATGATAATCTACTTCTTATGGATACGAAATATTGATAATATGCCCTTTATGGTATGAAATAATGATAATCTACCCCTTATGGATATGAAATATTGATAATATGTCCCTCATGGATATGAAATAATAATAATCTACCCCTTATGGATACTAAATAATGATAATCTGCCCCACACTGACAAACTGAGATATGATCTTTATACATAATACAAAAGAATGTTACAGACAGATTAAAATAATGTAAGAAGGAATGTAAACAAACAGTTTATTACCTCAAGCACAACATAATGAGACTGGTTCATGAAAGGTGCCAGATCCACTGTGAATTGTGCTTCTACAGGTGTGATACTCACTTTCTGTTGAAAATTCAATGTTACAAATGCCCAAATTATCACACAACATACTGGACATCATTATCATCATCATCAAGAAGATCAGTCTTTTTGTTGAAATAACAAAAATTATGAAGATGAGGCTAAGCAGAGGTAATGGACCAGAGGTGTGCAAACACAGCTTAACCTTTCAACCAAAGTGTATCATCATCATCATCATCAGCTCTCGTTATGCCTAGTGGCACATGAGGCTTCAGAGAGGACTTTCCATGCTTTCCTGTCCTGTGCAATCTTCAGTGCAGTTTTCCATGTCAAAGATGCTGCACTCAGGTCACTTTCCATCGTTCATCTCCATGTTGTTTTTGGGCGCCCCTGTTTTCTCTTTCCCTCTGGTGTCCATGTGAGAGCTGTTTTGGCAGGTATATCAGAAGTCATTCTCATAACGTGGCCAAGACATTTCCATCTTCTCTTGGTAATCATTCTGTCTAAAGTTTCTTGGTTTGTGGCTTGAAGTAGTTTAGTGTTTGAGATTGTATCTGGCCAGAAAATTTTGATAATTCTACGTAGACATGTGTGGTGGAAGGTGGACAGCTTGTGTGCATCCTTTTTGGTCATTCTCCAGCATTCCGCTCCATAAAGAAGAACTGGCAAAATGATGCTCTTGTAGAGTCGGAGTTTCGTTCCTCTGCAGTAATTAATGGATTTCCAGATTGGCCTAATCCTTCCAAAAGCAGCTCTAGCTTTGTTCAGACATGACTGTATGTCTTCCTCTGTCCCTCCCAGTAGGGACACCACACTGCCAAGAATCAAGAAATTATGCAACAGGATAAAAGACTATGATGAACAAATTAAGCTGCTTTTATATGCCTTTTTCTTTCTCTCCATTTATCTTCTTGATCAAAAATGCTGAATGCTGAAATAAAGAACTGACATAAGAGGACTCAAGAGACTCTCATAAGTTCTCTGTCCCTATCCTCAGCAGCAAGCAAAGAGTTCCAATTACGATGGCACCAGTAACTGTCTGATTGTACGTCTGTTCCACCTTTCCCTTAAGTGCTAAGCATCGGCTAGATCTCCTGGTAACTCCCCGCAGCGCCATTCTCTTCAGACCGTAATGACCTATTTGTGCCTCTGCACCGTTCACTCGCTCCCAAAGGGCCCTTACAACGTCTAGTTTGTCATACATCAATTCACCACCAAGTGGTGCAGAACCAGCCAGTCCATCTGCCTGCTTATTTCATAATACATCACCACGACCTGGAGAAAATATCCAAAGGACGCTAATTACCAGACACCTCTAAAGCGATGCCCGCCACTCTGCATGGAGTATGCCTGTCTCCACTTTTCTCAACATACTCTTGAGTCAGTTACAATTATGATATGTGTGCACAGCTAATTCTCAGTCCAACAGAAGGCAGCAGTGGCTGCCTCCACCTCCATTCTCAAATTAGACGTTGTGATATCTTGATCATAGTTGTGTTAATGTTCTTCTTTGATATAATCTTGACTGAAGTCACTATTATTTCCAACATTCTTCTCTGCTGAAGTTTCCCAGTCTTGCTCTGCCAACAGTGCATGTCTTTTGCTGCATACGTCAATGTTACACATCTACAATAGTTTTCTGTATGCTTAAGTAATTAAAAAATTTCAATAACAAAACTCTTTCTCACTTGCCAGATTAATTTAATTCGATTTGATTCAAGAACCGACATCACAGCACTCAGGGCATTCCCATAAGCGCTCCGTCCCCATCTTCAGCAGCCAGCGAAGGGTTCCGATACTAATGGTGCCAGTAGCATTCTGATTAAACGTCTGTTTTGCATTTCCTTTGAGCCTTGAGCATCTGCCGAAACCTCTCATCACTCACCCCTGCATCAATCTCACCAGACTATGGTGATCCATCTGCTTCTCCGAACTGTACACTCTCCCGCAAGGCCCTAACCACGTCTGCCTTATCATGTATCAGTATTCCACCAGGTTGTGCAGAGCCAACCAGTCTGTCCGCCTGTTCATTTCCCAACACACTGATGTGCTGTGTTGAAAAAATCCAGAGAATACTCCTCATCCGTGTCCTCCGCAGCAAAGCATGCCACTCTGCACAAAGCATGCCTGTCCTGATCTTCCTCACCATGCTTTCTGAGTCTGTTACAATCATGATGTGTGTGTGTGTGTCATGTAGTGACTGCCTCCACCTCCATTCTTAAGCTGTATGTTGTGGTATCATTTGCTATGCTCTCCTGCACCAAACATTGACCATCAAGTTTTGCTAAAAAAGCACTTCTTTTGCCTATTGACACTGAACCGTCTGTGTACTTGCCAGAAAAAAACTCAATAATCACAATTGATGAAATGAGTTGCAGTTACAGTTATAAAATCTTTATCGGAGACACCTAAAAATACAACAAGATGAATACAACTAAATTTTAAAAAAACTACTGAAATATGGAGGTTTGCTGCAAACTATTGAGATTCTTAGAGCTCAACCTTTTTGGCCTCTATTCCGGGAATTGGTGAAAAAAAATAATCCTTAAAATAGCAGCAATTATAGACAGGTCACACAATTTTTGACAATTTTATTTCTGTACATTCCAAAAAAAAAAAATTATTTCTATAAGTAAGAAGTCATGAAGGCAGCCGATAGTTAACTGACTTACCTCTCTTTGGCCATAAATAAAATCTATATGGTGACTCACACCTGTCCCTCGTTAACCACTAAGAGTATGAGAAATTATGACCTCAATCTCTATTTAAAAAAGGACACATTTTTTTTTTGGGGGGGGGGGGGGGGGGGGGGGGGTCAATATAGTGCCGAAGTGTACACTTCTCAATAGCAAGCCACTATAGAAAGTTTCTAAAGCAACTCCACTTTTGGGTTCTGGAGATCAATTTTGAAGAACAAAGAATAGACCCACTGCTTCCTTGACAAGCATGTTGTAGGAGGCGATTAATTAGGGGAAGTTTCCTTCAAAGTCTGAGTGCATCTACCCCAGGAACCAGCCGTCTGCATACAAAAAAGTGAGATCTGTTTGGATGTGCACATAAAACTCAAGGTCTAGAACAAGGCCGAATCAAGAAGTGAACGAACAAACAGAACTTTCTGGTGAAGTTCACAGTCGGTGAACATTAAGAAGAAGAGGTAAAGTGACATTTATTAGGGGACTGAACCCAACCGGAAATGTTGGTTTTTGTGGCTTCTCTGGGCAACAGTGTTAAAACGCTTTTTATGTACCTGTATTTGGAAAAGGGGGGGGGGGGGGGTTCTGAAAAAGGTATTAGAGAGCTAGCATAATTACAGTTGTGACCATAGTTATATTGATGTTCTAGTAATTTTGATTTTTTTTCATCTGCTTGTATGTTTAGACCAAAAATATGTTCTTATAATTACAATACTGTATATAAGCTAATGTATCTTAGAAAAACATTAATCTTTGGATGTATCTGCTCTGAGGAACACATGTTACCAAGACCCATAAAAGCAGAAACATGTGGTAATGGTTTCAGACTCCATGAATATTCTTCAGAAAATAACAGATAGCTGTGAATGGGTTAGTTGTGATATCTTAATGGGTAAAATGCATTCAGAAAACACAGTTAACCTCCAACATCTGGATCTACACACCTGGGCATGCAGAAGTGACAGGTAATGAGAGAGCCAACCATCTGGCAAGTAATGCACCAATGCAGATAGGAAGAATAATGGACAGAACTGATATTATCAATGCTGTATAGACTAGGCTGGGGGAAAATGATGAATTGCCAACACTAACAGGACTGTGTGACATGGGAATAAAGCTTGGTAGTTGAGGTGAGTTGAGTTGAATTGAGTTAAGAACTGACATCACAGCACTCGGGTCATTACCATGTGTGCTCCGTCTAATCTTCAGCAGCCAGCGCAGAGTTCCAATACTGATGGTACCGGTCACAATCTGGTTATATGTTTGTCTTGCCTTTCCTCTGGGTGTGTAGCTAGACCCTCTGGTTACATCCAGATGCCTCATTCTCTCCAGGCCATTTAAATCTTGTTTCTCTACTGATTCCATTGCTTGTTCCCAGAGGGCCTTGACCATATCTGCCTTGTCATGTATCAATTTACCATCCAGTTGTGCAGATCCAGCCAATCTGTCTGCCTTGCCTATTCATTACCCACTACGCCGGCATGGCCTGGAGAAAAGATCCAAAGTATGTTCTCTACCCGTGACCTTTCCAGTGAAGCCTGCCACTCTGCTCCAAGCATCGCTGTCTTCACCTTCTTCAGCGTGCTTTCAGAGTATGTTACAATTATCACATGTGTATGCATCTTGTTATTTAGCCACCAAATAGCTGCAGTTACTGCCTCCACCTCCATTCTTATGCTAGATGTTTTGATGTTGTATGCTAGGCTGTCTTGCACTAAAGATTTTCCATTGTCTTTCGCTACAAACCCCCAGGCACTTCACTTTGTGTTTTTAAGAATTATTGCCACAGCTACGAAGCACGTGCTCTGCGCCTGATGTCATCTTCAGCAAGCAGCTTGGTAAAGCAGGCCTATGCCATCCTTCAATGTCTAGACGGAAGAAGCTTCAACTGCTCATGGGAACAATAAATACCTTCAAAGGCTGCTTGATCAGAGTACTGAGCACACATAGGAATGCCCAATGTGCAGTGACGTCGAGAAAAAAGCATTCGGTCCAGTCAACTGTTAGCTACATTGGAAAATATTCAGGGCTTATGGGGTTTGACAGCATCTAGTAAACATTTGTAAAAGTATATATTACAACTGCCAAAGTGTAGTGGGATGGAATGCCGGAACGACAGAAAAGATCTACTTACAATCTGGATTTACAATCCATATTCTTCTTGGTTGCACCACTTGGTGTTTCTACTTTCATGTTATATGCTCTCGTTTCTGGCATCACTGGATTCATTCTCATTTAACAACCAAACCGTTTCAGTCTTTGTTTTTCAATGAGTTTAATTATAGGCACTGTTGCAATAGTTCTTCTAATTTCTTCATTTCTTTCACGATCTTTTCATTTCGTTCATGGCCTTTTTTAAACATCTCATTTCACACAACATCATATAATTGGTGCAAAGGATTTATCTGCACATGTATACTAAATCATAAGTATACATACAAGCATAAATGCTCCTCACAAGTATTACATACTACAAAACACACCTGTATTGGTATGTATCTTGGATATGCCTCATTAAACTCAGCCACTTTCAGTCTGCTAATTATCTCATTGACACCTGGGTTTTCCAAGAACAGCTGGGAAAAAAAAGGTATTTATTTTACTTAATGCTTTTATAAATGTGTTTGTGTGTGTGAGCATTCACATGTGCATGCATATATCTGTGTGGTGTATCTCATGTGTGTGTGTGGCACATGCCTACGGGTGTGTATGGGATGTATGATGTGTGTGTAAACAGCATGTATATGTGTTTTGTGTGTGCATGAGTGTGTGTGTGCATGTGTGTATACCTACAAGTTTTAATAAGAGTCAGAAAGTAGATGGAAATTCTTCTACAAAGAAACTGAGGAGAGTGAATAAAATCATTAATTGTCACCAATACAAATTGGTTTTAGTGCTTAAGAAAGTACATACATATTCTAATATGCTTGATAGGAAATAACAATTAAAATATCTAACAGGTGAATCTTGTTAAATATCTTGGCTCCACAAAGATGTCCGATGGAGAATGTGTCACACAGATAGAAAAAAAATTACTGTGTTGGAGGAATCTTCATTAAATTAGTAAGAATATGAAAGCACTAACCATTAGTACGTTTACATATGGTTGTGAAATGTTGATGAACTTGAAAAGAAAATATACACACTGGAAATGTGATCTTTCCAAACAATTCTTGACACATCAGGCAAAGTCTGCATCACAAATGATGAGGTTTTCCGTATAATTAAAAAGCACACTGGCAACTATGAACCTCTTTTAACTATAATGAGAAGGCAGAACATTCAATGGTATGGACATGTAAAAAGATCTAATGACCTCTTAAAAACAATACTACAGGGCTCAGTAGAGGAGAAAAGGCAGACCAAGAAAGAGCTGGACAGAACTTGACTGACTCAACAAGCCTTAGGCATGCACCATGAAGTTTATTGGATCTGACCGTCGACAGCAATTGATGACTCAACGGCACACGGTGTTACTAAACAATGATAATGATGAAGGAGAATATGGAAATAAAATATCACAGCAAAGACAACAGTTTGCTAGCTAAAAGATTATGTGTGCTCTGCTCATCTATAAAATTGAATGCCTGGGCTGGAACAACTAAGAATGAAATGGTTTGGAAGTAGCGAAAATATGGTATTTGAGAAATATTTTCAAGCTGAACAAAAAAAAAGAAAAGAAATGATGAAGAGCTGAAAGCTTCTGACCATCAGATATGGAAACATCTAGTTAAAAAACAAATGCTTACCTTCTTTTGCAACATTGTGACCAGCTGACTTCTCAGTATCAACCCCCTGAATGTCCCAAAGGTTTCACATCCATCTGTTATCTGAAACACATGCAAGGGAATCTAGATATTTGCTGTTCACACTCATAGTAAAATTTACAGAGACGGTTCTAGTAAATGTAGCTGGAATATTCCTCATGTGGGTTCTGGGTACCAATTAGGATGTGAAAAAATGCATATAAAAACAACCATCCCCTAACAAGCATGTTACAAAAGTTAACAACAAGCAGTCTGCTGAAGTTGGATGTGTTGGGCCAGAAGGCACAGATAATGCAGCATATCTAAAACCATAACACATTGTGCACCACCCTTTTAAAAGTGAAAAAAAAAAGAAGCTGCAACATGATGTACTTGTTTCATACTGCACTTATTTGAATCCAGATCTGGCTTATTTGCATCTAGATCTAGCTTACTTGTATCCAGATCTGACATATTTGTATTTAGATATAGCCTATTTGTATCCAGAAAGATCTGGCTATTTGTAGCGAGATCTGGCTTATTTTATCCAGATCTAGCCCATCTGTAGCAAGATCTGCTTTGATTGTGTCCAGACATGTCTTATTTGTATCTAGATATAGCCAATTTGTAGCCAGATCTGGCCTATTTGTAGCAATATAGCCAGACCTAGCATATTTGTAGCCAAATCTGGCTTATTTGTAAAAATGTGTTTAAAAAATTCAATGTATCCAAAAATCTCTGGCTTTTTTGTTGCTAGATCAAGCTTATTTGTAGCCAGATCTAGCTTATTGTTATCCAGATAAATTTTGCTTATTTGTAGCTACATCTGGTATATTTGTATTCAGATCTGGCTTATCTGCATTTAAATCTAGCTCATTTGTAGCCAGATCTGGCTTATTTGTAGTTAAATCTGGCGTTTTTTAGGGCCAGATCTAGCCTATTTATAGCTAGATAAATTTGGTCAAACTGTATCCAGGTCTGGCTCATTTGTATCCAGATCTTGCTAATTTTTATCCAGAAAGATCTGGCTTTTTTGTAGCGAGACCTGGCTTATTTGTACCTAGATCTAGTCTATTTTTATCCAGAAAACTGGCTTATTTGTATCCAGATCTGGCTTATCAGTATCCAGATCTGGCTCATTTGTATCCAGATCTGGCTTATTTGTATACATAATTTTTATTTGTATCCAAATCTAACTCATTTGTATTCAGATGTAGCTCATTTGTAGCCATATATATCTGGCTTTTTTGTATCCCGTGTTCAGTCCATTTGTATCAGTATCTGGCTTATTTGTAGCCAGATCTAGATTGTATCCAAATCTGGCTTATTTGTGTCTATCTGCTACATTTGCATCCAGATCAAGCTTATCTGTATCCAGATATTTCCTATTTTTATCCAGAAAGATCCAGCTTTTTTGTAGTGACATCTGGCTTACTTGTAGCCAGATGTAATTTTTTGGAGCTAGATCAAGCTTATTTTTCAGCTAGATCTAGCCTATATGTAAGCAAGATAAAACTGGTTTATGTATCCAGATATGGTTTATTTGTATCCAGATCTGGCTTATTTGTATCCAGATCTGGCTTATTTGTTTCCAGATCTAATATTTGTATCCAGATCTGGTTTATTTTTTATCCAGATCTGGCTTATTTGTATTCAGATCTGGCTTATTTGTTTCCAGATCTAATATTTGTATCCAGATCTGGCTTATTTGTATCTAGATCTAGCTTATTTGTAGCCAGTTCTGGCTTATTTGTAGCCATGTAGCCAGATATATCTGGCTTATTTGCATCCATATCTGGCTTTGTATCTGTATCTGGCTTATTTGTAGCCAGATCTAGATTGCATCAAAATCTGGCATATTTGTATCCAGATCTGCCATATTTGTATCCAGACATTGCCTATTTTTATCAAGCTGCACTCTCGTGGGACGTAGGCGGGTTGGGGTAAGGGTCAGTTCTAGATGTTCTGGGGTCATTAAAAGCATCAGAAAGCTGGGAAACCCAGTCTTACCACCCTCTAAAATGTTTAACCGTCCTGTGACGCCATCTGGGGTAGGATATTACGAAAGAACCGGTTTCTTTAATATTTTTGAAAATAGAATAAAATAAAGCTAAGCAGTCAGCCCTAACTAAACTGTCATGATCATACTATATCTATTTCTACTTTTCCTGTCCCGTTCAACACCAATGTCTAAATGTACACTGGTGGGAAAATATGCATTTTGCAAAACAATGCTATACAAATATTCACAGACTTATAAAAGAGGCCATGACATTGTGAGAATGGTCCTTTACTTACTATAGGAACCACACCTCTAGGCCACAACTACCCATAAATGTAATAAACTCAGATACAAATAGGAATAACAGCAAAGAAAAACTATTCAACAATAAATATGAAACTGCTACAAAAAAATCTGTACACTGATGAAGTTTACCACAGGATTATCTAGATCGTAATCTTCCACTACTGGAAAGCCATTGTGAGGTTCCTCCTTCAGAACTCTGACAATTCTGTCAACAGATTCTCTCATCCTGAACACAGTCACGGGATGGCTCATTACTGACCTGTGAAGAATTAAGTTATGCTGCACATCATTAACTCCCAACATAAAAGAGCAGAAACATTTTAGCTCATAAATAAATGCAATATATCAGTCAATAATTATTATAAAGAAATGTTTGTGTTTTCCTAATATCCTACTCCTAACAGGGAAAATCTACAGGTCATGGGACAGTCTAAAATTTCAGGGGGTGGTAGATAGGCTGCATGCAGTCATGGGATGTAGGTGGGTTGGGGGTTAGGGCCAGTTCTAGATGTTTTGGGGTCGTTAAAAGTATCAGAAAGCCGGAAAACCCAGTCTTACCACACTATACAATGTTGGACTGTCTGTGATGTCATCTGGGGTATGATATTATGAAAAAAAATAAAAAAAATTTGGATGCATACAGCAATAAAATTGAAAATTTGAAGGATGTGGGTTCAATACATGGATGTGTCGTTCAGTTCACAAGTGCAGTTTCTATGAAGATCCCTAAACACGGTCGCTGAAACCACAGAGTTTGTGCTTTGTGTGATGCTCTCAGCAGGTGGCTGGCCATTCTGCGGAGAGAGACCAAGCCATATGGGATAACCTTTTGCAGTGAAGTTAATCCCCTTTATTTTAACTTTAGTATGATTCCCTAAAGACACATGACTTTTGTTACAGGTTTCCCATTAAAAAGCGAACACTGGCCCAATGAGTCAACACTGCACCCAAAGTTGTATGGAACCAAAAGAGAACTCCTAAAAACAGTCAAGTTTATCAAAAGAACTTTTCTGTCAGTGTAAATCAGAAAACTAACACAAGAAGAAGTTACTAGTTTTGTTGTTGTAATTCTCTTTAGTGACATCTTACTGTTCATGGTCCATTTGGGCCAATTGTGACATCTTAGTGTTTTCAGCCTTCGACCAAGTAAACTGAGACCAAAGCTACGGTCAGTGCTCGAAGCGTATGGTGTCAATGGACAACTGCTAGACAACATCAGAGCTTTGTACCATATAACCAAATGTGGAATAATAACAAATGTAGGCATGTCAAACTGGTTCCAAGTTTCCTCTGGGGTATAACAAGAGTGTATACTGTCACTACTCCTGTTTATTGCCTACATGGATAAGACAGCTACAGATATAAAATAACTGATATTTGCCAATCATGCTATTTTATACAAAGATAAAATAACCTCCTCCTCCACATAAACAGTCTCAACACCAAGTAATATAAAATAAAAATAAATACTGACCCCCTCTTCCCCGCTCCCAGAAAAAATGACAGTAAACAGAACACCAGTTAAGCATGTCACCACTGTTGAAAGAGGGACAGTAAAACAAGCTAAGGAGTTTAGATGCCTAGGCAATGTATTCCCTCAGGACTGGTCAGAGGAAGAGAAAACAGAATACAGAAGTCCCACAATATAAATGACCAAACAGTGCTACTTTTGAGGCATCAAAATATCATGCACCAAAAAAAGCCGCTATTCATACCAGCTTTGTGCTATCAATGCCAGACATGCACAGTCCTAGAAAAACAAATGCAAAATAACAACACATGCGATTAGACCTTTAAGAAATGCAGTGAGAAAAACAAGAGGTTACAGAATCATTAATAAAGAACTAAGAAAAATGGTAGGTACATTACTGGTAAATGATTTCTCAGAACGTCAAAGGATCAAACTGTTGTCATATAGTCATAGAATTGTCTGCCAGTGTCCCTCTGTCACCTGCTAAAAACTCCAACATGTATCTGGTAAACCAATCGTAAGCTTGCCACTCGGTCGTTTAGGTATGCAGACTGCTTTAATTATGCTACAGTATCTTTTGCAAATCACCAATTCGTCTTGTCCCTGTCCGAATAACTTTGGGTAATTCGTGCAGCAAGGGACACCAACCCTGAGCTTCATGAACTCAAGTGGGCCCACTCTTTGAAAATGTCTAGGAGCTCGTGGGCCGAAACATTTGTTGACGAGAGATTACTTCTACTGATGATTGGTAGACCCCTGCTGTACATGCTCCCCTGTGGAGTTTATTCTTAATGCAATGCTTTACCGCATAAGACAAAAGTAGAATAAGATCAGTGTTTTCAATAGTTGCTAAGGATTCTACTTTTCAGAGACTATTTCTCTCTGGAAATGTTGAGTTACAGCCTATTGACAATAAAATACCTCAACACAGGTGACTTAATAGTTTCTACTGTCCAGAAGTGTTATGTACATGTCTATGAGAGACCTCTACTTACAGATAAGCCATTTTATGTATTCTTATTTCTAACTGTATAATTGTCTGTTTGTGTTATCTGCTGCTGAAGTCTTTCTAGTTGCAACATTCATTGGTGGCTCATGATTGTGATAATGTGAAGCTGACTAACTGTACTTGTAGTTTGGAATAATATCTTTTCATGTGATCCTAAGTCAAATTTGTATTTTTCAACACAATTTTAATTCAGATGGGTTAGAAAATTTGTATTTAAAACACACAAATGCAGTCTGTGATGACCCTGCTTTGCATGGTCTCCACGCTCACAGCGAGCCAAGCGGAAAATCCGTGTGACAAAACAAGCACGAGATTCTTAGGGCTGGACGGGTAGATGAGGGAGAGTCCGAGGCGGACTCATGGTCAGTTGCTTACCAGAAGTCGTAGAAGACAGTTGTGTTAATAGAAAATGTAGTTTCAATGTCTAGAGAATGATTCCTGGATGTTGGAATAATTGTTGGAACAGTGTGGAAGAATGTGATCGAATAAACTGACAGAAATGTATAAAGGAACTGAGAGCCGTTTGTGTTATCAATCCTAGACATTTGAACAGTGAAAGTGCTGTGTTGCAGTAATCATATAAAGCTGAATTGTGGCAGAAGAAGCATCTAGGACAAAAAACGTAATAGATTATTAAATCAGACAGTTTTGCAATTACATTTGAGAATAATTACAAATTCCATAAAGAAAATTGTTCAGCAGAAAATCTGATGTACTCCAGACAGGGAATACAGAAAATAAAATAAAATATGAAAAAAAAAATTTAAGTCATCATTTACTTTGCACTTATGTTTGTAGGCATTGGCAATGGCTCCCATCCTAATATTGGCACACCTTGCAGATGAATGTGGAGGTCATAAATTCCCTAAACAAACAGAATAAAAAGTAAATATAAAGGCAAGTAAATATTTAGTTTTTTTGTCAAGGCATCAACACACATTGTGAAAACTAAATACTTAATTTATTGTTGTAAAACTTGTTTCATGAGGGAAGACACTAGTCTTGATTAGTATAATCAGAAACTGTCTAAATGTGATAATTAATTAATCCATCGTAACATAATAAGTTAAAGAAACTGACACACAAAGAGAACTGATTGCCCACATCAGAAAGAGACAATCTAAATTGTTTGATCATGTGATGAGAAGGAGAAAACTGAAGAAAATCATGACTGTAGGAAAGTTGGAGGGAACGAGAGACAGAGGGAGACCAAGAGAACAGATGCTTGATGGTTTGCATCATGGCATGGAAGATCATCTGAGTCAGAGTTGATTGAAAGAACAACCGACAGAAGGTTGTAGATAGACATGACTACCAACGCCATATGGCATGAATTTTAGGAAGAAGAAGAATATAATAAGTTATATAACATTAACAAAGGCAACACCATCTGCACAACATGGAAAAAAATGAGAGGTAAAATAGATGTTTAACAACTAAATACAAACGTCCGAAGCTCAAATTTGCTGTTTTGTCTCAGCAGAAAAAAATATAATTTCATAAAATGATACATAAATCTCATCATGCTCAAGACAAACTGTTAAAATAAGAAAATAACACAACTGATAAATGTACAAATTAAAAAAGACAACAGAGTAAAACAAACCTCAAAGTAAATTTTTTTTGTATATTTTGACCGATAACAGATGTTTCAAAATAGATAAAAACAAAATTTCAAAAGGCAACAACAACAACAAAAAAGTTACTTCACTGAAACCACTGCTTACACATTTAGAGATTACAATAAAAGTCAAGCAACAAATGATTAAACATTTTTTGCCCAGCATTTGGCTACTAATGTCAAACTTAGTCCATAACATTCCTTAAAAGAAAATGTGTGTGAGATGAAATGCTTAAGAAAAGCTGCTGAGATTTCTACAAGAGAATGAAAAAACCATACAAAATATTAATTCAGTATCGCAGCACTTGCAACCATCCCATAACTGCTCCATTCTCATCTGCAGCAGCCAGCAAGTTCCAATGCTGATGGTACCAGTAGCAGTCTGACTGTATGTCCATCTCGCCTTTCCTCTGTGTGTTGAGTGTTGGCCAGATCCCTTGGTCCCTCCTTGCTACACCATTCCCTTCATGCCAGTAAATCTATCTACAGCACCAGCCAGTCTGACTGCCTCTTCATTTCCCAACACACCTACATCCTCCAGAGAGAAAATCCAAAGGGTGTAACTACCGAAGACCTCTCAAAAAATGCTTCATTTTGAATGACTACTCCTCTCTGTGTGGGTTTCGTGGCCCCAATGTGGAGAAAACAAGTATGGACCCACTGCCTTCCTCTAAAAGCAAGCATGTCATAAGAGTAAACTAATGAGGGGCTTCCTTCAAAGTCCGAGTACATCTGCCTGAGAGGCAAGAAACCAACAGTTAGCATACAAAAAAGCTAGATCTTTGAAATGGATGTGCATACAACAATCAGGTTCTGAAACAGGTCTGGTGTCCAGGACAAATAACCATAACTTTCCACCAGAGTTTACAGCCAGTGAATGTGAAGAAGAGGAAGAAGACTACTCCAGAATTATACATACACACATAATAGAACAAACAGGGTCTCTGTGGTGAAGTGGTCAAGCAATCTGCCTTGTTCTCTGAAGGTTGTGGGCTCACTTCACGGCTGTGCTGTTCAGTCAACGAGTGCAATTTTTATGGAAATCCATAAGGATTGTCATCGGAGCTATGGAGTTTGTGCTCTGTGGGATGTTCTCAGCAGTCGGCTTGCCGTTCTCTGAAGAGAGACAGAGCCTTATGGGATAGAACCCAGGGCAATGAAATTGATCCTCACAACTTTAACTTTAATTTTTTTTAAACAATAATTTTTTCTAATCACCTTTACACTGCGATATTTACCTCATTGAATTGATCTCCTACCCACTTAGCTACAATGAGAGAAATCATGACAGGCAGACCAAGTGGGACATTCGAAGTAGCTTCCATGATTATAACTGTCAAGCTGATTGTCATACGAACTATACCTCCTAAAAAATATATAGAAAAGTATTATTTGATTCAATCCCAAGATAGCAAGGAGACATCTAAATAAAATATTGAATGAGTCACAACTTAAAAATCAAGTTAGTGTAAGGAACCAGGGTTATTCATTTTAGAATAATATAGACTCAACAATGTGGCACTTCTTGCAAAACTACTGATCTTCCAAGATGAAAAAAAAAGTACAGATAAGAGAGCCTAGTCTATATCTTTGAGTGCAGTAGATTCATAGGACTAACTACATATTTGTACAAACCAGTAATCACTCAACAGCTGATGTGGTCAATCTTCCAGTAGCCTTTATTTTCCACAACATTTCCTGTACTCATTTTAGACTGGGTTGACCTGGGTAAACCAGGTAAAGTCCTAGAAAGTAAAGGAAGTCAACGTGATGTTGACCACATCACCAATCGAGATGGGTCTATAAAAATATAGATCTAGCTTCATTTACTCAACATGCTGCTGGTGTGAAAATGGTACTTTATTTAACTGTACAGGACACTGGATCAATGAGATGTGAAGAATAGAGAACAATTTGATGTAAGAGTCATGACAAAAACCACTAATTATTTCGATCCTAAGCAACGAGGCAGGTTTAAGAAACTATTTCTTATGTGAAATAGTGACAGCCCCTGGCATATCCCCGGATATCCTTTTTCCAAGGCCCCACGTGCCTCACCAGACCATTGTCTTGACATTGACCTGGCTGCCACAAGATACGAAGATAGGTAATATTGTGTATTTGTGTAGTATTGTCTATTCTATGTATGTGCTGAAGAAGGCGCCATAGCCGCAACGTTCACGTTTTGTTTGTGTTTGTTATATGGTGAAGCTCGCTGATATACTTTTCGTTCAGTTCTATATCTTTCCTTGACATTTCTCATAGGAACCATTCAATATAGGGTGTGTGACAGTATTTTTTTTCCTTCATAGTTTCCTCTCCAGGATGACAGACTGTAGGATAAACATATTAACATATCAAGGATGCAAAACAAACAGGTGCAAATACCGGAAACCCGCTCAACCGTACGGCCACTTTTAAAGTGTGAGTGGGTTTGTCAAGGAAAGTAGCTGCAAATATGTTCAAAAAAACGGTACAAATAAGCCATTGCCAAATACATGCTAACAACTCATATGTTAACAGGGCCCACAAGGAAACATATTATAAACATTATAACCTACCATGTATGTCATAACAGGTGACAAAGGAGGATTGGTGTAAGACTAGATACCTAATCCTATAAAAAAAACTTAACTGCACAACCCAGCTAATCCTTTACATGTCTTCAAATAATATAAGATGAGTATGCGTAAGAAGATAGAGACAGCCTGGATTAGAAAAAAATGGTTGGAGTAGCTGATGAAATCTCGTCTGAAAGGAATTAGTTTCATTTTTTTGTGCCAGGTCACCCTGGGGTAAGAGGAAATGAACGAGCAGATTGGCTTGCGGGCAGGGCCATGGTAGATACAGGAAAAGCAATGGACCGGGCCGACATTCTCAGTGCTCTCAAGAAGGCAGGACGAGAAGATGGTTCAAGAGACAATGTTGAATCAGCAACACACAAAAGATTACAAGAACTTCAGGTCAAAAGAGGTGTTTCCAAACATGAACACTATACATGAAGCTAAAGAAAAATAGTAAACCACCACAGAAGTAACGTTATCAGTCACCATACAGTGAGGGATACACTGAAGGTGGAATCTAAGTGCTTATGGACTTGTTTGATGTGCAGTAAGGATAAACTTTAAATTAACTAACTACAGAAACTGACATGAGTCTGGTGGGGGCATATTCTCCCATGGAAGAAGAAAGGTAGAAAGAAGTAGAGATTGCAAAAACACTTTCAGAGAAAACAGTTAAGGTAATTTAAAAATTATTCTAAACTATTGAAAATAACATTATTCATGAACAAGTCTGTTGGAAAATCTTCCACAGAATGGGATTAAACTCTGATCTATGTCCTGGAAAGCAAAAGCGCTAATTATTTTGCTACCTCAGCTCATTAAGAAAAGGACCCATTCCCACACCTTCAGGCACTTTGTGCTGGTCCCCTTATTTTTACGGGGCGATTGGAACTTGGTGGAGGATGTGTCAATTTCATGCTGATTGCCTTTATTTTCAAGAACATCCTGAAACATGCTGTAGTCAACCTGGAAGGTGAAGTGTGTTTCAAATTCACTTCCATGGGAATTCAATCACATGACCATAGGGTTGAAAGGCATGTATGCTAAGCTATGTGATACTGTGGATTTTGTTAAATATTTGTTAAACTAATATTTTTTTTTCAAGGACAGCATAATTTAAGCTCATGAGTTTTTTTTTAGCGAGGCTAAGAAATGAAGACCATTTATCAAAGTAGTTATCTGGCAGTGTACAAGCTAAGATAATAACCGTAAATCCTTATAAACTCACCTAACATCGCAGATGCACCAACCAAAGAGTAAAAAGATAATTCCACCCAATCCTGAATAAACAAAACAAAAAACAAGACAGTGTTTTCCTTATGAAGAGTAGTATTTTATGAATTTTTCTTTCCCCAGGTTCTGCATTATTAGTTCTGTTGTACCAGTTCGTACCAATTTAATCCTTCTATCCTGTGAATGTACCAATTAATGAATGTTTATAGTTTAATGATAACTTGTTAAATCATTCTACATGTTTCTGTCCCATACATAAAAAGCAATTCAGAATAGTTAATTATAAATTTGGTTCCAGATTTAATATCTATCGAGTTTCACACACTTCCTAGTGTTATGAAAGCTCCTATTTCCTGTCTGGGTTCCGGGGCCCTATTACAAGGAAAACAAGAATAGACCCACTGCCTACCCAAAAGCATGTCGCTAGAGTCGACTAAGTGGGAGCTTCCTTCAAATTATGAGTGCATCTGCCTGAGAGGTGAGGAACCAACAGTCTGCATACAGATTAGTCAGATCTGTCAAATGGATGCACATGCAACACTCAGATTCTGGAACAGGACTGCAGTCCAGAAGTGGACTTTTCGCCTGAGTTTATAGCTGGTGAACGCAAAGAACAAAGCTCCTATTGTCTTTCGTATTCTTATTTTAATATGTTTTTTTTTTTAAATAAAAATAATGGAACATGTCTTACCCCATCTACCAATGAGACCAGGATGCCAACGATTCTGCCCCATGCTGCTCCAACCAAAAGACTTGGAATAAACAATCCACTGGGTACAGAAATGCCGTATGTCCAACAAGCCAAGAAGAAGTAACCACTTGCAAATATGCATAATGTAGAAATCTGGTATGTTCCTATTCATTGTTTAAACAAAATTAATTAATGCAAATATGTACGTATAAATGTTTCTCAATAAATCTTTACATCAACTTAAAAGAAAACTTACACAAAACATTGATAACAAATCATTTGAGGAAAAAAGGAATAAGGAATTCAACTTTTTTTTATTGTCCCTTTAGGGTTGCAGTCTATAGGATTAACATCTCAAGGAAGAGAATCAAACAGGTACAAATCTTAGAAACCTAATTTAGGTGTATAATACAGTTATACTGCGGCACCAATGGTTGAACAACAACAAAACCTGAGTCAAAGGTGGGGGTTGGGAAGGGTGGTGACATCCATAAATTAATAGTTCCTGGGTTAACACAGTTTACTTAGCATTGAAAATATTGCACAGAAAACTAACACCACACCCTGCAAAGTGTGTCAAGTGAGGTAGATATGGAGTGACTCTATAGTACAGGAAACACCATTTAATTTGTTTCCCTTTTTTCCCACCATCAGTTTTCTGGTAAGGCAAACAGGTCACACCCAGTTATGCACCTAAGATGCCAGTACATCTTACCTTTGCATAAAGTTGTATGTTTCCTTCCCTTAGACAAATTGCATGCAGGTTATCAGGCTAAATCTACAGTTAAGTAGGTTTTCTTTGCTAATATTGTTGTCAGTGCATTTGGCAGTGATGTGACATCATTAGACAAGATTGGTTTCTGCAAAAATGCCTAACTTCTATACTGGGATTCAAACTTAGTACCTTCTAAGATTGAGACAGACATAATGTCTTCTCAGCCACACCTCCAAAATGCCTAACTTCTATACTGGAATTCAAACTTAGTACCTTCTAAGAATGAGGCAGACATAACTTCTCAGCCACAACTCCAAAATGCCTAACAGAAATCTTGAGGAAAAAAGGACAATGAAAATTAAATATGAATCTATTTAAATAATCGGGCGCACAGTGTCTAGATTTTTGCATAACTCAAAGGTCTTGGGTTCAAATCCTCATCAAGTTGACATTTTAGTTTCAAAACTGACCTTGGCTTCCAAGTCTAAACCTATACGAGGTAACCTACTGTGATGTTGACCCCATCAGCCACTGAGTGTCGACTGGTCTATAAAAATATTAACCTAGCACCATATGCCTGATGTACCAGTGAAGTAATAAGGGTCATTTACCGTACTTTATTTCGATAAACATAACTGAGATCGACAGAAAGACTGCCACACACACACACACACAAAAGACAAAAATTTCCCCATAAAATAAACACATAATTTAGCTGGTTTTCTTCTTATTTATGTTCATAAGCTCTAACACAGGTAGAAAGTTCTGACTATTTGTCCACTTCTGGATTTGTCCTAGAACCTGAGTTATGCAAGCACAGATCTGCCTTATTTGTATGCAGACTGTTCGTTCCTTGCCTCTCAGGCAGATGCAGTCAAAGGAAAATTTGGCTGGTGACAGTGGACACAGGTTAGGGTTGCATCTGCACTGTTGGTGGATGGCTATGTGTGTGCATATGCCTACATGAAGTTCCGGTCAAGATGGATGCTATGCACCATCATTGTTCCAGTCAAAATATACTCTAGGCACAGTCACTGTTTTTTAGTCATGGCAAATGTTTGGCTTTCGACAGACAGATGCCATTGCATTTTCCTTCATTTGTAGACCGAAAGGATATAGTTTTGTTGCCCAGCTACTGAGTTCAGTGCATGGTGCAACACTGTGAGCTGCAGATTGGCGCATGGCCTGTTGCCACAGAATTGGTGGTGCCTTGTGTGAGTGAAATTGATTACGTGAGCAACTGCTCAACTGTTTGCAACTGCTGTGTCCATCGATGTTGAATTGCATTTCTCTTGTTGAACTATTTATGTTAGCACTTCTGATGACTGCCTTATGCTTTTAATGCTACTGGATATACTGAGACTGTAGTCTGTGTCAATTTTTCCACAAGGGACAGTGATGGACATTCTGTATGTTTGTCGTTGGCACAGGAGCGGAGCAACTATTGTGACCCATTTGCTATGAAGCTGAAACAGAGATTACCAGATATACTTACATGTCTTAATTTACATCCACACATGGCCAATGAATATTGATTTCAGTATTTAAAAAAATTTTCCTTTTTCATTTATTTCTAAGAATTCGACACCTTGCTGGACTGAAATGTTAACTACATTAACAATGCTAACTGCTGTTGCTTGTGAAATGTTAACTACATTAACAATGCTAACTGCTGTTGCTTGTGATATATAACTGACAGACACAACAGCTACCATGGAAACTGGTTTTTGGTATTAAAAAAATAAAAAGTGAAAAATACAGTTATCACTGCTTAAATGATATGGTTTAGACAACGGATCAACATCATAGCACAAGGTGTAACCCATATGTGCTCCGTTCGACCTTTGACTGAAGACTGAGTCTTAAGAATCTCATTGAAGTGCAAGAACTCCGTAGCACCGGGGAGGATCCTAATATACTTTGGGCAGATTTTTAACTGATATTACTACCCAGAGACCAGGTGAAATTACTAGAATTCACGGGGAAAAATCCCAGCCTGAACCCAGGACCTCCAGCACTCAAGGCGGACGCCATGCTTCGAGACCATGCAGCCCCATTGCTATAAATGAACTGAGAATTAATGCATTTTATTATAAGAAGATGCTTAATGTTTTCAGCTGCTTAAAAAAAATTATAAGATTTTCTGAGATAATCATCTAAAATAACTATTAGGGTAGAAACACTTTAAGCAGTAAAAAGGATAGAAATACCTAGGTAAAGTAAGGGACCTTTCATAAATTCATTTTTGACTAATTCCTGATTAATAATGTTCCATTCTCTATACTTTCTAGAGTCTGAAATTAATGGGGGGAAATAAGAAAATTTCCAAATTCACCTTTCCTACTGTTTCTATCTGCCAAACAGTTATTGTCAAAGTCTATTAAATGCAGAGATATAAGCCATATTTTAATATAGATCCTGACATAACTAGAGAAAGTACCTTTTTCACAATTTCAGACATTTTGGGCATATAGGGCTAGACCTATATTTTACAGACCAATCGGCACTGGGTGGTCGATGTGGTCAACATCATGCCGGCCACCTTTACTTCCCCGGTTAACCAGTTAAAGCTGGTAGACCTGGGAGCCAAGGGCGTTTCTGAAAAAAGTCCAACTTCATCATGGCCTTTAGATCCATAAGTGAGCGTCTAGCCACTACACCATGGGTGCTCCCAAAAAATTCTAGGGTATTTAAAGTAACAACTAGAATATCTGCAGCAATGACCCTCAAGAGCTTGGAATGCTGAAGCAGAGCAATAAGACAGCTAGGATAGAAACAAAGTAACAAAAAGCAGATACATATTTAAAGCTTGGCAAGGAGGACAGTGTCAGTAAAAGTTATAACTGCTGGTGACTGGATAAAGGCAACAAAGTAATTTTAACATCTAAGGAGTCACCAATCAATTTACAGTGAATTTATTGTTAGAACGAATGAACGATCTTGATTTCCAAAGGGTTACAAACTGGGCAGAAAGACCCGTCTTACATTCAACCCTTTCAAGCCCTCATCTTTCATATGGTAACAGTATTTTATATATCAGGCATATCATAAATCAAAATTCATACTATTAATGCAGAGAATGATAAAAAACAAACCTGGGTCATTATGAAAAAGATGTTTCACTGTGGCTTCAGGTGTATCAAAAAACAATTTGGCAGATGAGCTGTACTCTCCTTCTTGACAGAAAAACTGCAAAAAATTAAGAGACCCATTTTGCATTCAACAATCACTCTTTACTGGCTGCTGAATATGGGGTAAAAGCACTTATGGGAATGTTCTGAGTGCTGTGATGTCAGTTCTAAACTGAACTTATTGTGTAGTCGGTTCTTTGTCGCTGTCACAATGGTCAGCCTTTCACCAGTTCATCTGTACTAGTCATTTTCATATTATTGGCATCCTAAATGTTCTGTGTCCGTCTTCTATCTCTGTATTGGTCAACTTCTGCCTTTACTTACAAAGACATTCAGCATTCCATTATTATGTAGCAGATCCTGTTTAGAATGTCCCAATTTTTACAACCCACCAGACCTTTGACCTTTCACAAGTTCATTTGTCTTTTCCATTATCAAAACAACAGTAATTTTAATATCCCATGTCCACCCTTGTATTGTATCTTACAGATTGGTGGACTCCAACATGTAGGCCCCCCTCCCCCCAAGGGGGCCATGAGGAAGTTCCAATGGGGGCTGTCAAGCAATTTTGGAAAATGAGTTTATTTGCACTTGTAAACATCCATTATGTTAAAGAAAAATTTAATGTAATTATAAATAAAATATTTTTTCAAACTATAAAACAAAAAGCCATGGACATTTTCGTTTTCATGAGCAGTTTGCTACTTTGTAGAATATTGTACATCTAATGTTCAAAATCTAATTTAATATGATATCAACTGCATTTAATTATAGATTAACTCTTTGAGTCCCAGGGGGTATCACAGGCCCAATGGGTAGTAAAGAGAGACTAAAATCGACACATCATGCGGTCATTGGGCTTCTAGGTAAGAACCTATGAACGTATGATGCGTTCCCTGGGACTCAAATAGTTAGGAACATTCTCCTCCTCTTTTTGATTCCATTTAGTTATACTGTAAAAAGTGGGGGAGGGGGGAAGGGGTGTCTTGCCATATACTCAATGGACGGGGCATAGGGATCTTGTTATATACTCAAGCTGGGGGGGGGGGGGGGGGGGGGTGTCTTACTATATACTTAAGGGGCAGGGGGGGGTCATCTGAGAAAGTTTGGAGACCACTGTTCTAGATTCATTCAGGATTTAATGCATCATCAATATTATTATCATCCTATCTTTCCACAGATCTCCTGGTTATTGCTATTTTAAATCAACTCCACTGATGATAATCTACTATGCCATGGGTTTAGGTCATCAAGCATCACCTCTCTTGGTCTGCCTTCCCCTCCTCTGCCGGTGATCGTTCCAGTCATCATCATTTTCTACAATACCTCTCTTCTCATGACATGATCAAAGAAGACTGATTTAAAGTTAAACTAAATCACAATAATTAATATTGTGTAATATGCGCGATCGAAACCCACTGCAGGCTGCGTGGATTTTTGTCGTGGTATGGGACGTCGCAGGTCCACCCAGCCTAAAATGGGTACCAGGATGGGCTGTCCTGGGAAAGTAAAGACAGCCGGCGTAATGCTGACCACATTACCCACAGTGCTGATGGTCTGTAAAAATATGGGACGCTCTGTCCATATGCCCGATGCGCCGAAAGGCGTGAAAAGGGATCTTTACTTTACTTTTTGCTAATATGCTACTAAATAAACAAATGATTAACTATGTCTCTCATAGATAATTTTATTTTGAGCTGATTAAGATATACTTCTAATTATATTTCAACATGACAGAGAAGCAAATAAAAACTTCAAACTATATGTTATTTTGTTCTGTGCATCCCTAATCAGTGAGAGAAGCAAGAAACTTAAACTATATGTCAATCTGTGTGGTCATCCTAATGAGAGACGTAGCAATCTTGAATATTATACATCAGTTTATTTTGCATATGTTAATGTTGGTAAAAAAGCAACAAATCTGAACTATATATTATTTTTATTATTCATGCTGAGTGACAGAAGCAACAGACTTGAACTATATGTCATATTGTTCTATGCATGCTGAGTGACAGAAGCAACAGACTTGAACTATATGTCATATTGTTCTATGCATGGTGAGTGACAGAAGCAACAGACCTGAACTAAATGTCATATTGTTCTATGCATGGTGAGTGACAGAAGCAACAGACCTGAACTAAATGTCATATTGTTCTATGCATGGTGAGTGACAGAAGCAACAGACCTGAACTATATGTCATATTTTTCTATGCATGGTGAGTGACAAGCAACAAACTTGAACCATACGTCATATTGCTCTACACATGCTGAGTGACAGAAGAACCTTGACTATTTTTCACACTCATCATTAACATGACAGAGGTTAATAACAAGCTTCAGCACAAACTTACCTTCACAAGTACGGAGTTGTTGTCCTGTTTGTTCTCTGTTATGTCTCTGCAGTCATTGCTGAAGAATATGAGCAGGTATGCAAAACATGGGGTGTAAGCTGCCACCATCACTGCCTCCAGAACTTTTTGCCAGTTTGTTTGGACATACCTACATATATGAAAAATGTTATTTTTGCCAGTTTGTTTGGACATACCTGCATATATAAAAACTGTTATTGTTCTGTGAAAGAACATTTTAATATTTAAATAAATGCACACAACAGAGAGATATATAACTTTTGCTCTCCTGTAAAAGAGATATCTATACCAGCATCCATATTAAAATTTTGCATTTATCTCTGCATTTCAAAGATTCTGAAGATGTTGCTTAGACAACTAGACTTAAACACCTGTAGTTTACGCTAAACAATACTAAAGATGTCCAAATTTGATAAGGAAATAATTTTATTTTTTCACTTCACACTAGAAAGTATAAAAAATTGAAATTTTTCAAGGAATTAGTCGAAATGAGTTTGTGAAGAACTGGACTATCATTTAGATGTGTGCAATGTAAAATGAAAGCTATACATTTATGGATTATATTGTTAGAAATAAAACTTGGACATAGTTACTTTCTTTTGGTGCAAACTGTTCAATAAACCAACTGTTTTCAAAATACAAAGTACCAATGGGGTGAGCTACAGGACCTCGAGGGAAAACAGTGAAGCTGAGCAAGGGAGATGCTCCACTGTCCATTAATGATCACTTTTTGCAAGAGTAAACATAATTCTATGACTACATGCTGCTATTACCGCTATAAACAGTAATTTAATTTGATACTAGCAGAAAAGGAACAGGGAAGAGGATAAAGCCTGGGCATACATAATCCTCTGGCAACTTTAGCATTCCTACTCTTAAACACCTTTGGATGTAGATAAAGAACATATGAGCAATTTCCAACTGTAGTGGTGTTTGATGGCAAATTCTGTAACATTTTAAACCATAGCCATAGATATGAAAGATGTCCACCTAGATAATATCCATGGATGATATGAAACATACCAATGCTAGCACATGAATATGACATATACATCTACCAGCATATTAGAATATTCTTTCGCAGATATGATTCACTCATTAACACTTCTACCTCTTGATAATAGCTAACATTTTCAGACTTGATCATATTTGAGAAAAGCCCCTGTGTGGGTTCCCGGGCCCCACTGTGGGGAAAACAAGAATAGACCCACTGCCTCCCCGAAGGCATGTCGTAAGATTCGACTAATTGGGAAGCTTCCTTTGAAGTCGGAGTGCATCTGTCGGAGAGGCGAGAAACCAACAGTCTGTATTCAAGAGAATGAGATCTGTAACACTGATGCACACACAACACTCAGTTTCTGGAGCAGGACTGCAGTTCAGTAGTGGACGAGCAACCAGAACCTTCCGCCAGAGTTTACAGCTGGTGAACGCGAAGAAGAAGAAGAAGATTTGAGAAAAGCACAATACTTACTTCATTCTAAACACTGTCAGCTTGTAGTTAATGTGGTTGAACAAAGCCCCAAGTAAGCCACCTGTGAATATATTGTCAATGTTTATTTTCAGTCACAGAAAACTCCAGTTGGCAGGTGTATTTGCAACATTTCAATAGAATATCTTTCGTTTTTATCAGGTGAAAGGATTGTGTACCATCCTCACACACAAAATTGTCTATAACATACATTTAAAGATAGGTTGGTAAATGCAACATTTGTGGTATTTTTTTTTTTCAAAGTTGACTTTGATTGCCAGGCTGACCAAGCCTAACATGTGTACCAGGTAATGTCCTGAGAAGTGCAGGGCAACCAGATTGGGGTCCACTGAGTGACTACTGGTCTATAAATAAGAGTCTAGCAACTTATGCCCGATACTCTACTGACATAAAGAAGGAGTTCATGGCTTCAACAGTGCATGCAAAATAGTCCCCGACTCATGTTTGATGTTGCCAAGAGGCAAGATGTATATACTCAGAATACTGCTTCAGTTAGTTTGTTGGTGTTGCGCTAGATGCTATTAATACTGTTTAACATCTGCACTGATATGACAAGTCTCCATAACAACATCAATGAAACAGCCTCCATTGTTATTAATTCTGGTGTCAATGTTATAAAAATTTGTGACATTTTTATTTCCCGATCTTCAAAGATGACCTTGCAATGATCACAAAAACATTAAATGACCCAGATGATTATCAAATTAGTCTTTTATTTTGCTTAATATGGCAAATTAAAATTTAATTAACTTACTTTTAATATTTAGTTTGTCTTTGCTTATATATTCATATACATTTGATAAATACAACATAAACTTACCAAAGGCGCCCATACATATCGCAATTAGGAGATCTCCCATTTTATAGTTAACAGCCTGCAATAGAAGTCATTCTACATTAGTTTCTTATCATTGTATGTTTTGCATCTGAGCAGTCAGTTTTTTTTTTGTTTTTTTTTACACACACACATACACACACTCTAAGGCTTAAACTGTATCCCTTAACTCTTTGAGTCTCAGGAGCTTTAGCATCAGAACCCCCAGGGGTAGTCAAGAGAGACGTAAAATCGGTGCCTCTTGCATTCACTGGACTTATAGGTAGGAACTTATGAACGTATGATGCGTTCCTTGGGACTCAAAGAGTTAAGTCAGTATAACATATTTAAAATATAAACCATCTATTGAAACTCATAGCAGAAAGAAACTGGAATTTAAAAAAAAAAAATTACAGTAATTGGGCAGAGAAGGCCACTTCTTTATCTAGTTCTTAGGAACCCAACTCATTACACTGCACTAGTAGAATTACTAAGAGGATTTTTTGGAAAGTTGTAGCTAGAGGGTCCCTTATTCTATAGCAGTTGCGAGGCCTTGTTAAGTTTAAGTGTTTTTTCTTCTGCATTTTATTGGGGGGGGGGGGGTCAGAGGGGCTGGGGTGACACATGACACAAGGCTTTAAGGTTGCATCATAAGAGCAGTCGCCAGAAACTGTGTAGAATTGTTATTTCGGCCCCCAACAGGAAAAAAAATCTCTATCCCTTATCAAGGATCAAACTCTGGTCTCAACCAATGGACCAGCAGCTCCTTATGCATGAGTAAATGAAACAAAAGTGTAAAGAATAGGAGCTCTTTTCTCATCCTGAAGCACACTAGATAAAAATGTGGGCTAGCGCCTTATGTTTTAAATAAATCGGTACTCATGTGATGCTAGCAATATAATGCCAGCCCCCTGTATTTTTCAATACGTTTTTTGCTACCAATTGAGGCTGAGTGTCCAGGTTGATGAAAAAAAGAATCCTTGTCTCAAAGGGAATTCAAACATATAACCACTTATTTATAAAGCCATGCTTATCTTTTATACTTCTGTTCAGCATTATCAAGCATTATTAAAAGAAGAAGATGGAGATGCCCTGTACACGCCTGCAGAATGTCTATGACATTTTGGCAAGGACAGCTCTCTGATGGAGAGCAGATGGAAAAAGGAGACGTGGATGACCTATATAAACCTAGATAAGGGTGGCAGAAAGGGGAAGGAATGAAAAATGGCATGGGATACCATAAAAGCAGTAAATTGGCAGAAAAGTAGATAACTTATGAATACCTTATGTGTCAACAGCGGGAGAGGATTATGGACATATATCTTTTGAACATTTAAAAAAAAGACAGGTTTAACTCCTAACTTACATCAAAGGTCCCAAAATCAATAAGACCAGCATAAGATAGATCCCAGGGATGTCCTTTGATGAAGCCCTGAACAATATTCAAGGTCATTGTCGATATCATTGAAGAGAAAAACTGTTGAAATACCAATAAATATATACTGAGGTATGAGTAAGTTACATCACACAAAAAATAGTATCTTTAAGTTTTAAAAAAAAGGTACAGGATCCATTTGATGCCAACTGCTATTGGGCATACAATGCTAGAATCATATTTTTTTTTACACCAATCGGTATTTTTAATTTCCCAGGACATTACGTGGTATCCATTTTAGGTTCAAATTACTTAAGAGACGAGGTCAATTTCAAAGAAAAGTCCAACTCAACGCTGATTCAACCCCAAATCCTTCTGGACTGTAAGAAGCCTCCTTAAATTTGTATTAAACTCAAAAAAAGATTAAGTATATTACACATGCTTAATTATTTCAAATGCCTAACAAATGTTAGTTACCAGCACTCTATACACAAAACTTGTGATGCATGAATGGCTCCTACCTCTCAGTCTTAAATAGTATTTGCTGTTTTCTAACATTTTACATTTGGCCATAGAATGCCTACAAAGTGCGGCTTCCCCTTGGGCTTTTAATCTGTTTAATAAATCTACATGACACTAATGCACTAGTGATGTTTTATGATAACTTTCCTCCTCTCCTATGGATATCTGCTGCTTTTTAAAAAAAAATTTTTTTTCTTTTTTAGGTAACATGAAAGGAGACCAAATAATTATAACAAACACAAAATACTTGCTGAAACGCTTTTTCTCTTTAAGCAACTATTATTATCTTTTCTTACAATCCATGCTGTGTGGTGTTGGTTGTAATACCTGTCCAGTCTTCTGTCAGAGGTACCGCTGATTTCTTTAAGCACAGTACATGCTATACACATTATTACACGAGTAACTGGTGGTGGAAGATGTCAGGGTTGGCTTCTAAGACAATATAAAGATCTGTGCAAGTGGGAAATAAAGATGCAGGTAGTGAGGTGGATTTACTGGAAAGGGAGGCGATGGATTATACTGCACGTGTGGGGGAATTAGCAAGGAAATAAGGATAAAAGAGAAATGAACTGCAGACTGGTTAAAACAGCTGTGCTTATGAGAAAAAACATGTCATATACATGTGATGGCCACAATGGTTTTGACATTTCGACATGTTACTGTGGAAGATTCTTCTTAACATGAGTTGGTCTTGCTAATCACTCTCCATCACCGTCGCCATTGGCCGTGATTCTCATGCCTATAGCACAACGGTATACTAAGTCGTCCCCTTGTGGGATGCAAATTATTTAATGCCCCACCCTGGCTTTTGTCGGGGGCCCTAAATATAGCTAGGCCGCATTTGTGGCCATAACAGCTAAAAGGGGTTTCCAGGACTTCTCCACTGGTGATCCTCATCTGCATGGTGGCACTGTGTGTCACCGGGTGTTTATCGCTTGTGTGATGTCCTGGTGGGGTACAAGAAGCAAGTAAGCACAATGGAACACTAACTTCTGGAAAGATGGAAAGGTGCCAACAATTGGTTTCTAATGATATCATAGATCCTCATTTTAATTCTTGAGCAATGAATCAGTGCCTATTTCACATAATGGTAGTTTGTATGCAAGTCTGCCAAAACAGCGATTTTGGTTCAATTCCCAGCAAAGAAATTAATACTATTTTTTACGAGTATGGCTATAGGTTTGGCTCATAAACATTTATACAAATCTGTTAATATTTCTGAAAATGTCCTGTTACGTAAAGATGATGGGGAAGGGAACAGGTCATCCCATCCATCTGTTATGGCCTTGAATGTGTGAAGGAATAATATTTCACAAGCCAGATGCACTAAATACAATAGGACTAACTAAACTTTTCACCTTAACTTTTTACATATTCTAATTTGTGAATCAGAGCATCATATGCTACATCATTATTATTTGCCATATCCCATAACATCACAACCATGACACTTCTATTACCTGTACACTTATTATATTACTATTCAAAACATTGTATATCGTCTTCAAGAACATCATAAACCCAATCTTAGCATCTGATGGCTGTTTGTAGTCTTACTAGGCAAATGTAAACTCTGTATTTTGCCACTGCTTTCTGAGTGGAACTTCTTCTTTTTCTTTGCATTCGCTGACTGTAAATTCTGATGAAAGTTCAAATTGTTCGTCCATTTCTTGACTTCTGTCATGTTCCAGAACTTTTTGTTTCTTTGTAATGCAGACTTTTGGTTCCTTGCCTCTCAGGCAAATGCACTGCAACTTGAAGGACACTCCTAATTAGTTGACTTTTACGACATGCTGGTTGGAGGCAGTGGGTCTAATCTATCTCCCCTTCCCATAATGGGGCCATAGAACCCACACAGGGATTCTGAATGGATGAAATAGAATTTAAATCAATGAAAAAAATTGTCTGCACCAAAATACCTGAAGCTGAACTGAACCCAGAATATTACAATTATGAAACTATATCACTACTAGCAGACATGAAATGTGACAACTTACAATCCTCCATACAAGAGACTGATTCCAGAACGATGCTCCTTCCTCCAAACTGAAGAGAACACCTCCCACTGGAGCACCAAAAGCAGCAGACACCCCTGCTGCGGCACCAGCAGACACAAAGTCTCTCTTTTCTGTGTCACTCCGAAAGTTACGAAATATCTGCGTTTAGAAACAATCACTGTAATAATACTCTTTAACAAAACAAAAAATCATATACAAATTAACTTGCCTGATTAACAAAAGTTAGTTTGAAATTAAAATTCAGACACACGTACACATTTTTCTTACCTAATCCCCTCTGAGACTGCAGCCTTAAAGACTAACAGTCAGTGATTCAAGAAGCCACAAATTATTTGGAGGCAAAGCTTATCACAGACACCCTGCTCTAATAACAATTGTTTGTTATTTTCTGTGGTTATGATGTCCTACAATCTATAGTTATTTATTATTATCTTAATTTTATATAATTCATTAGCTTTATTGAATTATATAATTTACCCAAAAAAAAAACTAACTGATAAAATATGTTCTGATAAGTTAATCAGTTTAAAAAACTTTAAATGTACCGAGTGCAATGATGTTAATTTTTGATTCATTCAAGAAATTTAAATCATATACCCAATGTGCCAATGGCATTAAAAAAACAGTCCTACAAATGTACACAAAACAATGTCTGTTGTCGTTGCACCTACTTTGAAATCTATACCAAGTGAGGTGCTTCTTCCTTGAGATACACCAGCTGCAATGACTGATCCTGAATGAATCATGGGACCTTCCTGTAAAACATAAGTGAGATTGTTTTTGTTTTTTAACTGCACTGACAAAATCATTCAAAATCTAATGATACATATGTAGGAGAGTGGCTGGCTGAGCAGGCACGACACTGGGCTCTCGTGTGGAAGACTCAGGGTTGATTCTTGGTAAGATGATTGGGGCTGTTTTCTTTTTTCTTTTCTGTCATGGGCAAAAATAAACATCATAACTTGCATAGTTTATGGTGACAGCACTAGCCATGCTGCCCCTAAATCCTCAGCTCAAAATCCAACCTGTTCCACACCGCCCCAATAAAGCAGTCAATACATGCAGTAACAACAGATACTTATGTAAATATCTGCTACAAGAAGTAAGGTCAAGGATAATGAGTAATAAAACAGTCTTAAATGAAGCTATTATGTGTCATCTTATAGAGTGTCTTCTTCTCTTCCTCCACTGGGGGAGGAAGCGTAAGAATCTTATGTATGCTCACTATAATGAACCTTGTAGGTAAGTCCTTATTTCTCTAAAACTCTTCTTGATGCCATTCTTTCATGGTCTGCCTCCTGTTTGTGGTCACCTTCAAAAGAGCTTTCTGTGGTGATGCCCGGACATTTCTGTCAGAGAGCGAAACCATTCCATTATTTGTTTTTTTATACAGTGATAACCAATTTCAGTTATTAAAGTTAGTTGTGCATTCTTTTACAGGATGTTGCAGAACCAACCCCAGCATTTTTGGCTGGTTTTTCTAGGCAAATTTTACGTTCAGTAGTTTGCCATTTCTTTCTAAATGGTCAGCTCTCAGTACCACTGTAGAAAGCAACGCAAGACAAATCATCCGCAGCAGGGATCAAACTCGGTGCCCTGGCATTACATTCGCAACGCCTAAGCCACAGATGCCGACTAATTTCAGCCATAGCCTTGTTACAAATTTTAAAGAAAAAAATTTGAGCTTTTCAACTGAAATGCTACACATAAATTCTTAGAATTGCATGGATCAAGAAAAAGAAAAAACGCAGACATCCTACTTGAACTGAGCATCAAGAAGAACTGGCTATAGAAAGAGAGACTTTCAGGTGTGCCATGACGAGAGCAACATTCTGTTAAGGATATGCTGATTGATGATGATGATGGAAATCAGATGTTCCAGAAAGACTGCAGGAGTGACCAAAAAAGATAAAAATCAGGAATGAGGCCATAACAGAAAAAGTCCATAGAACCAATTCTAAATTACATAGAAAGAAAGAAAATCAATGCTCTGCCATCCTAGATAGAATGCCTTGCGAGGTCATAACATACAGGGTGTACTTTAAAATAAGAGGAGGATGTAGAGCATTAGACAAAGAGCAAAATGGAAAGATAACATCAGAGAAACTCTACAACATAACATCAGAGAAACTCTACAACATAACATCAGAGAAACTCTACAACATAACATCAGAGAAACTCTACAACATAACATCAGAGAAACTCTACAACAGCACTATGTGTCAATGGTCAAGGTGGCCAGAAGTACAGCCCTATATCTTCCTCAACATCCAAAACGGTAAAAGAGATAGGGAAGAAGATGAAGTAGACTAGAATATAGTAGACTGTAAAGCTGAAAAATGCTAAGGTACAAGCAAGAGCTACATACATTTCTTACAAGACTACTCATCAAACATAAGGAAAAATAAATGAAATTTTACATGGAACATATGAAATAAAGACTAATTTATGTGTACAATTATTAGGCAAGAGAAGCAAAGGAAGACAGAGAAACAGCCAAGCAACAATATTAATATGAGCAACACCAATTTCAGTAAAATATCAGTACAAAGAATTAGTGAGAGAGAGAGATATCAAACTACCAGAACTTTCTGCCAGTGAACATGAAGAAGAAGACAGTGATGATGGATGCTATCTGCTCCTAGCCAAACCTATTAAAAAGATACTGAACGATTTGCCAGCAAGGCTAAGTGCAAGGCTTGGTTTAGAAAGGTTTTTATCCACACACGAAAATATCAGTATACTACTGGTATAAATACTGCTACAAGTAAATATGTCACTGAAGTCGATCCCTCCTTGTAAAATCTTTCCCTTCCTTCTCTCATAATTTAGATGGTTAACAAAGCAGCATCTCTGCTGTAATTATGTGCTGTGAAAGTACTAAACCTAAAGAAGCCCAACTCTCTCCAAATAATATAATTTTTGTCTTAACTTATTCATAAAGTACTCGTCTTTGTTGAATACAACACCAAGCAAGTTCTTAAGATAAACTTGACAATAATATAGTTTCATACAGTGGTTCAGTTGACTCACTGTACTGAGGCAATTCTACAGAACACATTCAGTAGTTTCAGTGTTTAGTCCTGTTGTAAATCAGAAAGTCAAAGATTATGCATGCTTCTTTGGCCTATTATTTTCCATTCTGAGAAAAAGTATAGTTATCTGCCCCTTGCAATCAACAGTGTGGTAGTAACTGCCAGGTTATTTCTAGAATCCACATAAAAAGTAAACACTTGATTGTGAACATATTGTCTGATTTGTGAATATTTCCACATAAAAAGTAAACACTTGATTGTGAGCATATTGTCTGATTTGTGAATATTTTACTAATGCCTGTAGCCTTTTTTCCACAATATTCAACCACCTGGGAATAGCATATCCTTCTTGCCAAAGTTAGCTCCTTTTTATCACCACTAAGAGCTGATGAAGAAAGAAGCTAGTCATGCCACTCACATTATCACAACTGATTATTTGTGAAGATCATATCACCTTTAGTTTTTCTTTGTCTTCTAAATTTGTCATGGAGGCATTTCTTACCTTGCCAACAGCTAACCCACCACCGACAGCACAAATGACTCCCACAACCTTGGTGATCAATGTTTTGATACGAACAACACGTGGCACAATCACACCATTCAGGTAGCACTTTATTTGGGGAATACCGCTACCAGCTGCCACAGGCTGTGGACAGAAAAACATGGAGTTAACTGAATGGAAGCTGACAAATAGGTATAGACAAAAACAGTTAAAAAACTGGGTCAACAACCAATTATAGACTTTTAACTCTTTCTGTCCCAAACAATGCACCATGTGTCCTCAACTTATATCTATGTGCATCAACGCAACATATGGTTGTTGTTTTTTTTTTATGTTTGGTCTTGGTATGCACAAGAAATCTGGTCAAATATTTTGAATGCAACACAGTACAGGCTATATCATTGAAAGTCATACACTGATGCCTCTGTCTCTGTGATTATTATGCCAATTTGGGTTTCTACTGTGAAATCATCTAGGGCTGAAAGAGTTAAAGACTTAGTGTGTGTTTATTAATGAGTGATTTAGTCAGAGTAGCGGTCAGAGTAGCTGGTGAAACATCAGAATGGTTTGAAGTACAGAAAGGAGTGAGACAGGGCTGCATTCTTTCACCCTCCCTCTTTGACATATATGCTGAAAATGTTATGAGAAACACAATTAGCGATGAGGCATGTGAGAGCTTTGGTCCATTAAAAATTGGAGATAATTCTATCCCAGAACTCAGATATTCAGACGACACAGTTCTCCTTTCCAACAGTGTACAAGGTTTAGAAAAATTAACTCTGGCCAACAAAAATCACAGCGAAGAAGTGAATCCGTTTCAGATTTTTTTTTTAAACACACAAAATTATGTCCTCAGTAAATACATCACACCAACCACGTATCGCAATCGAAAATTAATAAATAGAAAATGTAACAAATTTCGAATACTTGGGCTCTTTAGTGAACAACAGTGGCGAAGAAAAGAAGTCAGAAGAAGACTTGCATTGGCAATGCACAGATTAAATAACATGAAGAACCTATGGCAAAGCACTGGTAAATTGGTTAAAGTAAAAATCCTGAGATCATGCATTTTTCCTGTGGCAATCTACGGTTGTGAGTCTTGGACTCTCACTCAGTCACTGAGGAAAAAGATTGGAGCTTTTGAAATGAAATGCTATAGAAAGATTCTTTGAATACCATGGATAATGAAGAGGAAAAACATCGACATTCTGAATGAGTTAAACATAAAGGAGAACTGTCTCATAAACAGCATTCTGTCCCGAAAGTTAAAGTATTTTGGCCACATCAAGTGTCATGGTGGCTTGGAAAAGACAGTGATGGAAGGTGCAGTTTGTAGAAGGTGAGGCAGGGGTCGACCACCATGAAGATGGATACAGGACATTGAAGATGCATTAGCAGTGAAAGCACATGGGACTGGAGAACTGGCTAGAGAAAGGGATATTTTCAGGCGTGCCGTGAAGAGAGCGACGTTCTGTAAAGGACTTGCTGATTGATGATGATGATGATGATTTAGTCATCCAGTCAGTTGATGGCACCTTCCCATGTGTCCAGAGAAAAGTACCATACCGTGCTAGCAAAGATAAAGTTTCTCCTTTCCCTCTCTCTCGGTCTGCACCTGTTTATTCCAAAGAAAAGGTAAGACCAATAAGTTTTTGACTAAAGCAGCCAAAGAAGATGCAGGGTCAGAATAGGGCTCTGTCTGCTCTGTTGTAGATTCCATCCTAGATCAACCAATAACTAAAGCTAAGGGCCATGTTTGCCTTTAATAAAAATGTTTTTAGGTTGCATTTCCCTCATCCTAGTTAAGGATCCTCGACTTGAAGCCAACGCACATCATTTGTGTATATAAAGACAGAAAACACAATATCACAAACATTATTTAAAGGGTAAATTTCAATTATACTAAATTTAACAATCAATGCTCTTCCAATCTCACAACTTTTATGTAGTCTATGCACCTTTGAATAACCAATATTAACAGGCAAACATAAATATCCAACAGTGAAACAGAAAAGACTACACATCCCATTATAACCCAGATAGTTTAAACAGAATATCGCAGCTTAAATTATTAGTTGAAAGTTAGTTGCACATCCAACCCTGGCATTTTGGGTTGTGGGTTTTTTAGGCAAATTTTACGTTCAGTAGTTTGCCATTACAAAGCATCTTCACAAATCATAATCCACAGATACTGACAAATTATTAGTACTGCATCATTTTTATGGCTGTTTCTGGAATGAGCTGTTCTGTGTCTGTTTTACTCAAGACAGAAACAGCTGTCTCACTGCTGGTTGAGATTTTCTAACAGACTAGGTACAGGTCTTCTTTTTTTTTTTTTTTCATATGTGACTATTTCCTGTCCTGTCGTACTCCTTTCTTTAGTTATATATCTGCTATTATAACACTGGGTAGATGAAAATGAGATCTTATCTATCGTATAACTATTTTTTTGTTGGTGTCTATGTGACATTGTATCACAAGGAACAACAACCTGCTGCAACAGGCTATTCCAAAATCAACCTCCAACTGGCTGGTAAAAATAAAACTATTTGCCACAGTGACACCATTCACTACTTACATCATTCAGTAGCATTTTAGCTCACCACACATCAACCCACAGTCACATTTTTCAGTGCTCAGGAATTGTGAACAAATAAACATGGACATTGTTATTGCCTTTCCCCGCCAGATGTGATATTCATGGTGTGACATGTGACACGAAAATGACCATTATGTGATGATGTTTATGTTAGTAAATACTCACTTCAACTAAAGCCGTCAATAATGAAGCAACTAGTACTAAAACAATGTTGAAACAAAACCAAACAATCTGTGGTTTCCACAAGCAGCTGCCAGCTTCACACTGATCCACCACTAGATGATGACTTAAGGAAAATCAGAATTCAGTTTAGCTGCAATTGTATTAACTTATTCAATACCAAGAAACACATCAAATGTTTCTATTTCTGCATACATTATATAAAAAGTAAAGGACCCTTTTCCCCACCTCTGGGCATATTGGGCATATAGGGCTAGACCTATATTTTATAGACCAATTGGCACTTAGTGGGTGATGTGGTCAGCATCGTGCCAGCAGCCTTTACTTTCCAGGACTGCGCCTGATACCCACTCAAGGCTGGGCTGACCTGGGAGCCAAGGTCATTGCTGAAGTAAGTCCGACTCCATCAGGACCCGAACCCAAAAACTTCCGCCGCTACACCACAGGGACTCCCTTCCCTATATGATATGCTTGCATAAACTTTCTTTGTTTCATCCAATTGGTTCATAACCTCATTCTCTCCCAGCTGTTAATAAACACCTGTCATATGGTATTATTTAACCCCTTTCATTTCAAGCATTGTATAATTTAAAACAACTACTTGATAATCCAGACCAAGTTAAAGTATACTTGTCTATGACTAAAAGAATTAAAAACTGATTCAAACAATGGATTAACGGATGTACTCGGCACCCGGAAAGAATCTTTTTCTTCTTCTGTGTTTAAAATGGTAGCTGGCTTGTTGTGTTGTGGTTTACAACTAGGCTGAAGTATATGTGCCTTTTGACCCAGCAAATCAATTTTAGCGACCTCCTAATTAGCCACCATTTAGGTCAGGCTTCTTTGGGGGCAGTGAGTCTATTATTTTCCTTACAGAAATAGGGCCCTGGAACTCACACAGCTGGAGAAACAAAAAAAATCAGATAATGAAGTGTTTTTATGAATGTGAGCTGTCAGCAGGTACTAGAATCTGTAAAATAATAGCAAGGGTCAACACAGACTGGAAAGAGCATTTGAGTTATTTTCCAACATCAGTTCTGTGTTGAAAAGAAAAGAGCATTTGCATCCATACTTCAAGAACTGAATACTAACGAAAGTTGGCTATTAAAGACAATAAAGTGCAGAAAATTTAAATATTTTGGTCATTGAAATGACACGAATATTTAGAGAGAACAATAATAGTCGGGTGTATATGCTTGGGAAAAGAGGAAGAGAAAGACCAAAAAGAAGATGGATGCAGAATGTGGCGGATGATCTCCAGATGGGTGCAACAGACGCAGGACATCTTGCTTGTGATCGAGAAGTTATCCTGAAGGTTGTTATGGGAGCAAGGTTCTGCAGAGGACATGCTACTGACTGACTGACTGAGTTCTGTGTTGGTTTAGGGTTCCTCCCTTGGTCACATGAATACTGTTCCTGCCTGGTTTCACACTTTTCAACAGTCTGGTCAGGGCTGCAGATTCAGTCTTCACCTTTTGTGTTTAATTGCTACGTGATTCTGGCAGCATTGAGTGCACCACCTCAGTCCCCCTGATTGTCTGCTTATCACAGCAGCCCTGTCAGAAAATCCGTCGTCTTATTCATTTCCTCTTACACCTGTACACTCCGGCTCAAAAATTAAAAATTTTGTCAACCTTGACCATCTCAAAGACTCCAAAAACTGACTCAGTATGTGAGTTACTATTGAAAAGTAAACAAATCATGAGGATGATTCTTCAGCTTTGCACACTAGCAGATTACAGAAATAACTATTTACCACCAACAATAGTTGGTAGCTGCCATAGTGTAGCAGCTAGATGCTGGCCTGTAGATCTGAAGGTCACAGGTTCAACATTGAGTGGACCTTTTTAAAAAATGAACTTGGCTTCCAAGCTTACCAAGCCTTGAGTGGGTATACTGCATCGAAAAAGTGAACAACAACAGCTACAGCCAAAAACAAACATAAAATATTCAGTATATGGAATGTAAGTAGACTAGGAAATAAAGAACCAGAACATGCAGAAGATATAAGATGAAAATAAAAACTACTAAAAATGAAGTAATGCAGGTCAGCAGAATTCATGGTCCACTACATAAAGGGTTGAATGATACTTGTCTTAAGCAAGTCAAAGGATTCAAATATTCAGGAAGTATATTCTTAGAGGATGGAAGAACAGATCGGGAAATACAAACAAGATGCCAACAAGCCAGTGCACTTATATACTAACTGACACCATTATTAAGACATCCAAACATAAGTATGAGCACCAAGAAACAGATTATAAACAGCATATTCATACCATAATTCTGTTACCAGGGTCAGACTTGGACATTATCAAAGGATGATATATGTAAAATTAACACCTGTGAAATGAGATGCCTGAGAAAAGGTGCGAACTTAACCATCCGAGACAAAGTCAGAAATGATATTATCAGACAGACTGTGGGAACAACTCCATCCAGCAAATTCACTGAGAAACAGGAGATCAAATGATTTGGTCATTTAGTAAGAATGCAGCCAAACTTCTACCAACGCAGGTGCTACACATGAAGAGATCTGAAATGAAGCAAGAGGCCACCTAGGAGTTTTATTGATGAGATTAAGGAGCTTCTAAATTGACATGGAATGACAACAGCCACTGCTGCCCATCAAGCAATGGATTTCAAACTGTTCCTCCCCACAACGCCAAATGGCAAATGTCAAAAGTGATGATGATGTCTTTACTTTAACCAAGAGTAGTTCATTATGGCAGTGTAAATGTTATCAGAATGTTTCCTCGGTTGAAAGCAATGGCTCTCTATCATTAGTTCTTCTCAGAACATGGGCAGTGCAGACTTTCTACTTTACCTCAGACTTCTGTATGCGGGTGTGAACTAAAAGGCTCAACAACATTACTATACAGATGTGTGTGTGCATACTTACACACACACAAACACACAACCATGTAGTATGTGATGTGTTTGTATATATATAAATATGTGTGTGTGTGCATGCATGCATGTGTGAGTGCTTGTGCGTGCGTTTGTGTGTGTGTGTATACAGAGAGAGAGAGAGAGAAGGGAGGGGGGCAGAAACACATAAACAAAACATAACAGAAATAATTGTCGCAGACTTAAAATGCACACAATCATGCATATTTTGACATATAGAGCTAATAATTATATTCAACTACCGACCTTTAAAAAGGATACATTTTTTTATAGACAAAAATTTGACCCGAGAGACGCTTTCCACACAAAAGTCAATCAGTCCAGCAGTCAGACCGGTCAGGACGCCAATGATGAAACAGATAATCCACCTCTGAACTCCTTGCCAGTACAATTTCTTCAATTCAAAATAAAAAAATTTGAAAACGTGTCAAATATAATCATTCCTCACCACACAGGAAACTAATTATTTTATATTTAGGTGTAAAGCTGTCAGAATAAGGATTGGAAATCTTGCATTATGTAAACAAAGGATTACATGATTAAGACTTCCATTTGTCAAAAAAGGCAGAAATTCACTTGCAGTGGATTCCATCTCACTGTGGCATCAAAGCGCTGATGCTTTAGCCACAGACCTACCAGCCACTATCTTTTCCAGAAGTCAAAACTCTCATTAAGAGAAAATCAGAAACAGGCTGAAAAACCAACACTGGTTATAACTACAAAAAAGATTTCCTGAAACACATGAACAGAACAGATCAAATCACAGTTTGTTGCTTACGTACTGGACACTGCAGACTCAATAAATTCTCATATAAATTAGGTATGAGCCAAAAAGCTCTCTGTCAGTGTCTTCGTGCCGAACAGACTCCAGAATATGCCCTGCAAGACTGTCCTCTCTTGCAACATATGGCAACACCCAGTAGAACTGACAACTAAGCTTTGGGGAAACCTAAGAGACCTTGAAAAGACATCCCAGTTTGTGGCCCACAGTGGATTATGCGCATGACCAGAGATCACTGAAGAAGAAGAAGAAGACTTCTATAGTGAGATGTACAAAAAAAGACAATGTACTATGTTTTCTTCTTCTTCGCGTTCACCAGCTGTAAACGCTGGCGGAAAGTTCTGGTTGTTTATCCACTTCTGGACTGCAGTCCTATTCCAGAACCTGAGTTTTGTGTGTGCATCCGTTTTACAGATCTGACTCATCTGTATGCAGACTGCTGGTTCCTTGCCTCTCAGGCAGATGCCCTCCGACTTTGAAGGAAGCTCCCAATTAGTCGACTCTTACGACATGCTTTTGAGTAGGCAGTGAGTCTATTCTTGTTTTCCCTGTAACAGAGCCCCGGAACCCACACAGGAAAATGGACTATGTGATCTGAGTATTTTAGCTGAAAGGATTCGTGTCTGTACTGTACCACATGTTGGCACAAACAATACAGTATTAAATACCTGATAACAGTAAAACATACAATATTTTGTATCATAATTATAAACAAATGCTATGCTATCTGTGCCAAATGTTGACACTTACTTCCTCTAATGAACGTAAAATTTTGACAACAGAGATGAAATGCCTTAGAAGAGCTGCAGGAGAATACAAAATCACGAAATCAGATGAATGCTAGGAATAAAGCCGGTCTTATAGGTCATCAAAGAACAACAAACAAAGTTTTTGGACACCAAACTAGAACGCTCTGGTACTATCTACCATAGCAAGCCACACTTGAAAGTTACAACGGGTATATAGCGAGTGGAAGACCTCAGAAAACATGGAGTGATGGCATTAAGAACAGCCTTACAGAAATGAACATCAATCTTAACTGGTCTAGAAAGAGCTCATCAATGAATTTTACACCCCCCCCCCCCCTACCCCCGACACTCCGCTAAGGTACAAGGCGGAAGATAAGAAGAATAATTTAAAACAAATAATTAACTTCTCCTTATTTCTTATTTTGTCCTTCTGCTTATGACAAAAAGATTCACAGAGAGGAGTTATATGTAGTTTCCTGTCTTTTGCTAGTCACGTAGCCTGTGTTAATGTCAGACCACAGTTCCGTAGTGCTGCTTTTACTTACTCCAACCATCTCTTTCTTGGTCAGTCTCTTCTTGCCTTCTAGCATGCTGTTCTCATGTAGTATGCTCGAACTGTTGGCTGATTTTGTTCCACAATTCCGACCAGATGAAAAAAACCATTTGATTCTTTGATTTGCTATGAAATCATTTAGCTGTATTGTGCCCACCGCTGTTCTTAGTTCTTAAACGATGACTGTCTCTTCTTGTTTTTCCCATCGCATTAAAGAAATAATTAACGGGAATGTGAAAAGTAATAAGTATTAATGGTCTACAGTTCTGATTAAATCCAGTATACTATACAAGTTAATAAACATATAATCAGTAATTCTGAGTTTGAAGAATTTTAATTTGAAGAAAAAAACTAATAAACAATACAATGCTTGAAAGCAGAAACATGATAGTGGTAAAGATTACATAATAAACAATGCAACCACAAAACTGGTGAAGATATTAGTTAGTTAGTTAGTTAGTTAGTTAGTTAGTTAGTTGGGTTATCATCATTGCACTCCGGACATGTCCATAGGTGCTCAGATCCTCCCCTCAGTATGAACCCCAACGTCCGATAGCTAATAGTACCAGTTCTATGTTGATTAACAAGTCTTCTGACGTGTCCGGTGCGCGTCTCGTTTTTTGCTGTGCCGATCTTAATTCCCAAATCTGCCATTCTGGCGAGTGATGTGGATTCACTGCCACCAAAGTCCTCTATCCTTCCCATTTCTCTGAGGGCATTGATAATATCAGCATGATCCATAGGCCGACCGTCGGTAGTGATAGCGGATCCAGCCAACCTGCCAGCTCTTTCATTTCCATCTACGCCTGCGTGTCCCGGAACAAAAATAAAGGTGACTCCTCGCACAGTGGACTTCTGAATTGATTCAAGCCATTGTCTTCGCACTGAACCTGCCTGAACCCTCCGGATCATGCTCATTGAATCACTGAGTATACATTGGCGGGTGTATTTTTGTGTTTCAAGCCAGGCAAACGCTTGAGTCACTGCCATCACCTCCATCGTGAAGATAATCAACAACAACAAAAAATACTATCAAATCATGTGACAATCTCTTTTTCTACATAAACATATAATAGTCTATTGTACTATCTAAATCTGTGACAGTCTCTTCATTTCCATTCAGTACAATACCATGTGGCATAGGCCATCATACCTCTCCACAATATGCAATATCCAAAAGCATGCATCAGTCTGAGTGTTTCTTATATTGTCTAAATTGGGACATCCTCACAAACTATTCAAATCAAAACTGTGTCAGTGCTTTTTTTTCTGCCTATTTATTTAGTCAGTCTTTACTGGTATTTATGTTGTCATAGTTCTGAATCTGTTTGATTCATGTTTGTGTGCATCCAATTTATTGTTATTTAATCCCTGTGTGGGTTCCAGGGCCCCACTGAGGGGAAAACAAGAACAGACCCACTGCCTCCCCAACAAGCATGTGGTAAGAGTCGACTAACTGGGGGTTACCTTCTAAGTCAGAGTGCAGCCTGAGAGGAAAGAAACCAATAGTCTGTATATAAATAAGTCAGATCTGAAAAACGGATGTGCACACAACACTCAGGTTCTGGAACAAGTCTAAAGTCCTGAGGTGGATGAACAACTAGAACATTCCACCAGAGTTTACAACTGGTGAACACGAAGAAAAAGAAGAAGATATAATTTAAAATATGCACCAAGCGGCTACAGCAGAATCAGGCAAGTATACACAAAGTTAATTTAAAAAGTGACCTACCACCCGCTTGGAACTTTTTTCCTTCTCCTCATTCTGATACAGCAAGTTATCTAATATCTCATAATCAAGGCTCTGCAAATACATCAGGGTAAAAAACATAAGAAACTCAGATATAGATAAATTAGTGTCAAACAACTGGAATCTGACTAAAATAATGTAAACCTATAGCCACTCTGGGAGTCGCCGTGGCAGAGCGGCTAGACGCGCGCCGCGGATCGGAAGGTCATGGGTTCGCTCCCTGGCGGAGACGGACTTTTCTTCAAAAATGACCTTGGCTCCCAGGTCGACCCAGCCTTGAGTGGGTACCGGGTGCAATCCCGGGAAGTAGAGGAGGCCGGCGTGATGCTGACCACATCACCCATCTTGTGCCGTTGGTCTATAAAAATATAGGTCTAGCCCTATATGCCCTATACGCCTAAAGGCGTGGAAAGGGTCCTTTACTTTTTACTTATAGCCACTCTAAGTTTAAAGTCAGCTGAAAATTAAATACTGCACATGCTTTTGATGAAATCTGTGGTTCAACTCTAAGTGTCCTAAATAATCAGTTGTGTTCAAGCATGTTATCTCTATTACATTTGATCTGTACATATTAAAAAGAAATCTAGCCAGATATGTTAAGATGTAGCACAGGATATGTTTGCTCATTGAAAGTAGAGAGTCCAATTTGTTTTTACTTTGTGGTTATGAGAAACTTTTGGCATTCTGTTATATCTCATCACCATCAAGTCTCTTGCCGACTAGCGTGGGCAATCATGCCTCTCCACAATCTGCAAATGCATGTGTTGACACCCCTCCATACCATGACCATTTTCCCTCTTCTCATAACATGACCCAAAAAATGATGACTACCTCTTTCTGATGTTTGTGATAAGTTGTCTTGGAGCACTCACCTCTTTCAAAACATCTGGGTTGCTCTTCTTAGCTGTCCAAGGAATTCTAAGGATTCTTCTACAAAATCTCATCTCCATGGCCTCAAGATATTGTTTGGCTTGTTTATTAATTGTCCGGGATTTACAGACATATGTTAAAACTGACACTATATAGCATGCAAAAATTATGTTCCTAATCTCAAAGTCATGTATTTATTGCACAAAAGGTTCTTCATTTTATAAAAAAAAAAAGTTTTGGCCTGACCTATTATTTTCTTTATCTCTTCATCGGTTGTTATCCACAGAATCTTAAATTTATGTACCTGTCCTAAAATAATGAATTTGACTTTAAACTAAAAGAATTTTGGTCTAGGGAACTAGCATGTAAGGCTCTTTTATGTTCTTTCCAATGTTATGTATACACCGATTTACATTTCTCCAAGGTTGTTCTTGATGCTGTCACTCCATCTTGTAGAAGATCTTCCTCCAGCTCCTTGATCATTACATTTATCAAACAAATCTCAATACGGTAGTTGGAATCTGGGCATTCTTGTCAGATGACACAACCAGTTCACACACTGTTCTTTAATAAACTATTTCAGTCCCAAACAGTCGTGTCTACTGCCCCTTGAAGGCAATTATGACAACTGTATAGGTGAACCACTTTCAGATGGATCAAATTACCAATCCATGTAGACAATGAAACCTTT